TGAGCCACACCCCAGCCCCTCACTGGGGGATTCTAAGCAGGTGCTCTACCACTGAGCCACACCCCCAGCCCCTCACTGGGGGATTCTAGGCAGGTGCTCTACCACTGAGCCACACCCCCAGCCCCTCACTGGGGGATTCTAGGCAGGTGTTCTGCCAGGGAGCCACACTTCCAGGCTTCTATTATTATAATTTTATTTTAAGCCAGGGTCTCACTATGTAGCTCTGTGTGGCGTAGAGCTCACAGTCCTCCATGCTGGAGCTTTAGGCACTGCCTCAGCTGGCTCCCAAGCTCTATCTTGCCTTACATCCTCACACAGAAGGATCTGCATCCATGTCTTGGCATGTTACCTCCCCATCCATCAGAGTTAGGTTGCCCCCATGGTCTCCCATGCCCTCTTAGTTTAAGCCTTCACTTTTTTCTGCCAGGGACACTGGCCACCTTGTGTTATCAAGCCCTTAAAAGTAGCAAGTCCAAAAGAAGATATACTATACATGTAAAAACACAGCAGTTTCAAGAGTTAGTACAAAAAAAAATGCAAAATAACTTACAATTTCATATGAATTATCAGCAAAATGATAATGTTTCAAGTATGTCGGTTTAATAAAGCATATTATTAAAATTAATGTTTACTTTAGGCTTCTTATTATATTTATTTATTTGAGTGTGTGTGTGTGTGTGTGTGTGTGTGTGTGTGTGTGTGTGTGTGTGTGTGTGTATGTGCCACATCTTGCATGTGAAGGTCAGAAGACAACTTCTGAGAATGAATCTCACTTTCCACCTTGAGATTCCAGGGATCGAACTCAGATCCTCAGGTTTAATAGCAAGCCCCTTTACCCACTGAGCCATATGACTGGCTCTGGGTTTCTTTTACCTTATGGATATAATAGGAGATTTAAAACCAGAGGAAGGAGCTGGCCTTAGTGGTGCACACCTGTCGTCTCATGCTCAAGAGGCTGGGAGAGGTCTCAGGTTCAAGGCTAGCACAGGCTATGTAGTTTAAATGAGTGTCCGCGAGCTGAGGGCCAGTGTTTACGTGAAGCTCTGGGTCCCATCCCTGGCTAGCAGCTTGGGAGCTGGGGAGCCCAGGTCAGTCAGGGAAGGAAGGCTAAGGGAGTTCGTTGAGTCAGTCGTACAGGGCCTGGGAGGCCATATTCAGAAGCCTGGATACTGAACTGGCAATGGTGGTGAACGCCTAGTCCTTTAAGAGACTGAGATGGGAGAATCACAGGTTTCAAGGCCAGCCCGTGCTACGCATAGTAAGCAAGTTCAGAGCTATCCTGTGCCACTTAGCAAGACCCCGGTTGGAAATAAAAGATAAAGAGGGCTAAGGATGTAGGTCAGTAGTGAAGGGTCAGCCTAGAATCCCCCAGTGAGGGGCTGGGGTATGACTCAGTGGTAGAGCACCTGCCTAGAATCCCCCAATGAGGGGCTGGGGTGTGGCCCAGTGGTAGAGCACCTGCCTAGAATCCCCCAGTGAGGAGCTGGGGTGGCTCAGCAGTAGAGTGTTTTCCTAACCAATGCAAAGCCTCAGATGTTACCCCCAGTACTGCAAAAGAAAGAAAGGAAGGAGAGAGAGAGAGAGAGAGAGAGAGAGAGAGAGAGAGAGAGAGAGAGAGAGAAAGAAAGAAAGAGAGAGAGAGAGAGAGAGAGAAAGAAAGCTGAAAGTTATCTGAATGGCTACTGAGGGTCTCTGCACAAATTGCTGATGTTCTTAGAGCCACGTAAAAGCTGTATTTTCTGTCTGTCCCTCCAGAAGAGAGCGCCAGAGGAGCAGGTACCCATCCCAGACTTTGCCCAAGTGACTCTCCTAAACACCCTTCAGCCTACAGCGAGCTGGGCACCCTGTAGGCACTGGAATTTGTCAATGATCTTGGTCAAGGGCGCCCAGCCACACTCAGGGAGTCATTTTTGTAAATGAGCTCATTTCATGGGACCGCTATCCAGGGAGGTGGTACTGAGCAGTTGAGGACTGCTGGATTTCTGGAATGTTCCAGCAACTGGCTAATGAATGGATGTCAGCCTATGACTGGCATTCCTAGCATCTGCCCTGTTGCTACATGTGCTGTGTGAACTTGCATGGATGGATCTGCCCCCCCCCCCCCCACACACACACACCGCTTTGCAGGTCCATGGAACCTTGTGCAGCCGTAGGAGTCAAGCTATGACACCGAGTTCCAGAGATCAAAAACTGGAGCACAGAGCAGGGCCCTGGCCCGGCAGCCTGAAGCCTCTCCTGGCAAGTCTTCCCTCTATACCTCTCCTGGATCCCCACAGAAAGCCTCGCCTGCTGGCCCCAACCTCTTTCCCAGTCCTGGAATTAATAAAACTCCAAGCAGACTGTGGTTTGCAAGTCTGCGAGCCAGTTCCTGCCCGCGTCACTACTCCAGGAGGAGTGGGGCCCAGCTCCCCACCAAGCACCCCTGCTCTCCTCCTTCTAGGACCTGGAGCCTCAGGCCCTGACCATGGTGTAGTCCCTGTTCCCATCAAGGGATGGACTGGGGACTTCGGGCCCTTGAATCTTCTGTACACCCAGCACATCTCCAAAGAAACACACTACAAAAGGTGCACACGTGCTGTGCGGTTTCTAGATCCTTCCTGTGCTCGCTCTCTCTCTCTCTCTCTCTCTCTCTCTCTCTCTCTCTCTCTCTCTCTCTCTCTCTCATGTTTTGGGGTTTTTTTTTAAGCTGTTTGTTTGCTTCTTTGTTTTTAAGAGTTTCATGTACCCCAGGCTAGCCTCAAATTCACTACACAACAAGAAGGACTTTGGACTCCTGATCCTCCTGCCTCCACCTCCCTGGTGCTGAGGTTCCAGGAATGAACCACTACACCCATATTGCCATGTAGCCCAGGCTACCCTGGAGCTTGCTATATAGCTCAGGCTGGCATTAAACACTCTATCCTCCTGTTCCAGCCTCCCAAGTGCCATACTCAGCTTTGAGATGATTCTCCTATCATGCCCTCCCCGCTTTCCAAAATTCTGGGGATAGCATGGGAAAGGGAAGGACTGCCCGGAATCTCAGGTTGACCCAGTAGAGACTCCATCAAGCCAGACAGCCACACCACAAACAGGACAGAGCTTCCAGAACTAGCTTCAGCCTGTGGTACTGTCGGTACCAAACGGATACAGAACACTTCTGGGCACAGGGCAGAAGCACACGCCCACACTTTTTCTGTCTTTGCAACCATCTACTAGTTAGGCGTAACGGACATCAGCTAACATGTGAGGCAAGCGAACGCTGCGGAGTTGCGCAGCTCTGTGGAGCGCTAGAACTAGCTGCGTACAGTGGTGCACACCAGTCATCCCGAGACCCAGGAGGCTGAGGCCAGAGGATCAAGGCTAGCCTGGGTTGTACAGTGAGACTGTGACCGTGTTGAAGGAAGGGAGGGAGAGAAGGAAGGGAGGGAGGAGGGGGAAAAAGAAAGAAGGAAAGGAGGGAGACAAAAGAAATGGGGGGGGGAGAAAGAAAATCAGAGACCCAAAAATCAGCCCAGGTCCACCTAAGCCACCTGCCTTTGATCTCTCCCCTCCTGGCCACTGCTGTCAGATCTGCAGACTCCTCTATGCCCTGTGCTAGACAAGATATCTTTGTCTAAAGTGGCCCTCTGAGCCACTTCCTGCAGGAGAAAGGCCCCAGGACACGCGGTCAACTTTTTCCTCTGACCAACTTGCTCTGACCTAGAGCAAGCAACCATCTTTGCCTCCTATCCTCTGGCACCCACATTTTCTTCACACGTGCAGGGGTCTTCCCCTGACCCTTCCCCTGACCTACCCCTTTACATCCCCAAAACCTCCCAGGGTCCCTATAGGCTCAGGGACAGGGTGGCCAGGGCACTAAACTAACTACGAGCTTTCCTGGTGGGTGCTTTCTGCTGGTTCAGCAAAGGCTGCCCCCTTCTGGCCATCGGAGGAATAGCACCCTCAAGCCTTCCCAGAGGCGCCAAGAGAAGCGGGTACCCAGATCCAGGCTCGTAGAGCTGGCGGTGCTTAGCACTGGACAGGTGGTGAATAAGCAACAATGAGAATACTGAGTTAATAGTCGTCTGCACAGAGCTCCCACCTCCATGCTTACCACCAGGCACTTGGGATCCAGTTTGACCTCTGCTGGACACTGGTTTGCTCAGGGGTGGTGCAAAGCTATGCCCGTGGCCCGTGCAGAGTCAACCAACACCTTATGCAAGGATCATCTCGGAGCCCTAGGGAGACGCTAAATACACGGCTTTCACTCCCAAGCCGTTCACTTGACCTCAGCCCCTTGGTTTCTACAACCATAGACCCTAGACTTACGCAACACCCTTTTCCTGGCTACAAACAGATGGCTAAGACCTTGTCTCAACCACGATGAACCAGATCCTATGTCAGGGTCCCTATTCTGTCCCCAAAATGCCCCACCGTGCCACACTCATCTGATTTTTCTCTCCCAGCCAATTCTGCCTGCAGACTCTATAGGCAGACCCCACCCCCCTTATCCCCAACAACCTTCCCAATCCAGTTTTGGGTAAGGTCTGTCTTTAGCTAGGCTTCGGGGTATCAGGGTGTCTGTAGGGCCAGGGTGGGAGCTGAGGCTCGGGACAGCTGGCCTGTGTCCCCACACTGGGCCTGGGGCCCAGGCAGAGGGGCGGGGGCCTGGCTACTCCAGCCTTGGCTAGGGCTGGGATTTTTTGGCCGGGCTGCCTGGGCCCTCCCTCCTGCTTCCTCTCCAGAGGGCTGTCCTGGCAAAGGCCCCCTCGCACTTTCTGGCGGGAACAGGGCCAGGAGCAAGCAAACAGCTACAGAGAGAAAGCGGGAAAGCGATGGGGGGAAAGCCGCGCACGCGTGTGTGTGTGTGTGTGTGTGTGTGTGTGTGTGTGTGTGTGTGTGTGTGTGTGTGCAGGAAAATAGACCCATGGTCCAGGCAGATTCAGCCTAGGAGGCTTGCAAGCCTGGCCTTTCGTAATTGCCCCCTCCCCCGCGACCCCCTCCCCCGGCTCCCCCTCCTCCCGCCCTCCTCCCACCCGCCCTCTCTCCCTCCCTCCTTCCCTCACAGCAGCCTACCAGGCAGCAATTACGCTTTGGGGATAAAACGAGGCGCAGAGAGCAGGCTGGGGCAGTCCTCCCCGAGATGGCGGGTCTGACAGCGGCAGTCCGGCAGCCTGGAGTCTTGCTGATCTTCTTGTTCAACCTCCTCCATCCCGCGCAGCCTGGAGGTAAGGGGCCCCTCGCCGGTCCCACGCTGCCCCTCGCCGGTCCCACGCTGCCCCTCGCGGGTCCCACGCTGCCCACCTCTGCGGGACTCAGCTAGCCAGGTGACAAGTCTGAAGGGGGATCCCGGAGACGGATGAGCCCTTCACCTCCAGATCCCCCCTCCTCCAGGCAGAGTCCTGGGAACTGTCTCCTCCAGGGAGCCAGCTCCGCCTAGGGGGTCCTGTCAAGCATACATTCCACAAATCAGGATGGTCCCTACCCTCTGTCCAAGCTCAAAGCAGGGGGCGTTCCTATGAGCCACCTGGGTGCTTCCCCAGTGGGGGCAGTTTGCACACCTGTGCACATACCAGCCTGGGGAGAGACAATCCTGATTTGTCTTTGCTTGGGAATGTTGGGATTCCATGTGTGTGTGTGTGTGTGTGTGTGTGTGTGTGTGTGTGTGTGTGTGTGTGTGTGTGTGTGTGTGTGTGTTTCATACTATGTTGCACAGGTGTCAATGTGAGGGTCTGGCCGATCATGTCCCTGAAGGAGGAGTATCTGGGAAAGGTATGAAGGTCTGTTCATAAGTCCATTCCTAGACAGGTGGAGATGGAGGGAGGCAACTGTGAAGTTGTCTAGTGGGACCTGCCAAAGTCCAACACACGGTTGGGCATGGTGAGCCACACCTGTGATCCCAGGATGTAAGTTCAAAGCCAACCAGACCTCATCTCAAAAAAAAAAAAAAAAAGAAAAAAAAGAACTAAACTAAACGAGGATGAAGGATGTCTCACTTGGTAGAGTACATGCTAAATGTGCATAAAGCCCTGGATAAACTAGATGGGCATGGTGATGGATACTTGTGTGGTGGCCCAAGGATCAGGAATTCAACGTATGGTTGGCTACATAGTGAGTTCGAGGCCACATGGGCTACATGAGGTTGTTTCAAAAAACTAAAAATCTTCAAGAAGTCTGGTGCCCAGGTGAAGGCTGGAAGTCACTGTAAGTGTGTGCAAGTCCATGCCCGTGGGAGGGTTTGCTGGGGTGGAGTACAGGCCAGTGGGGGGAGCTGGGGAAAGTGCCCATCTCCTGGCAGACAGGGCACAGCTGGTGTCAGAGGTTACACTGAGCCTCAAGTTATCATTTTGGTCATCTGGTATGTGTCCGGACCAGGCACACTGGGTTATGGGGGAGGAAGGGAACTGTCCCCAGAGGGAAGGTGCATCGAGCTATGGGGAAAGAGGTGCAGCTCATGAACCATCTGCTGGGGTAGTCTGGTTGGAGACTGGTTTCCATAAGAGAAAGACCTCCTTGTCGTGGGAACCTGAACTTGAACTGGGGACAAGGGGCTGCAGGGCAGGGCAGGGCGGGGCGGGGCGGGGCGGGGCTGTGGTCAGAGGCCGGGTGGGAACAGCAGCTGTTCCTTGATACTGACCTGCTCAGGGCAGGAGCCCACTGTAAGACAAGAGTTCCTAGACAGGGACCAGACTGAGGGCTGTGGGTACCGACAGGAGGACCCTGCAGCTGCAGCAAGCCAGTGGTTAAGAGAAGTGACTCCGGGTCACCTAACCCTCCTGCCCCAGACATGGACATCTAACATCCTAACATCTGCCCACCCCACCCCACCCCACCCCACCCCCTGATGCTTACACTAGTTCATCATAAAGAAACTATTATCTTTACAAACGGGGAAACTGAAGCCAGGCATGAAATAACACCCACCTCCGGCAGGAGGCTATTGAGTCGGAGGGCAGCCTGAACTATATAGTGAGATCTTGTCTCACAAGCATCTAAAAGAAGGCTAGAGATGGAGCTCAGCTAGTAGAGGGCTTGCCTAGCTAGAAGTCCTGGGTTCCATCCTCAGCACCACCTAAACCAGGTATGCTGGCTCATGCCTGTGGTCCCAGCTCTCAGGAGGTGGAGGCAGGAGGCTCAGGAGTTCAAAGTCATACTTAGCTAGATAGAGAGTTCAAGGCTAGCCTGGGTTACACAAGACCCTTTCTTGAAAGGTACAGAAATAGAGCCTGAGGAAGGCTAAGGCTGCCCTTGGAAGTTAATATCAGACAGCTTTCTGCCCTGAGTCAAAAAAAGGGGGGGGGGGGGTAGGTGAAGTGCCAGGGAATATTGGGGAGAGACAGCCCTGGGGCGGAGCCTTCCTTTAAGGGCAGAACAAACCATCCCCTTGTAGCCTGGGTGACATCACTCAGCACTCAGCTGGCATCTTTCCCCGTGAAGATAAATCTCCACTCTGTCCCAGGTGGCCGGAGTCACTGGGTTCAAGTAAGAGGCAGATGAATTGATGAGACCTTTCAAGAGAGTCCACCGAAGTCCAAAGAGGTCAGAGATCTGGGTGGGGCTGAGTACTGGTCACACCTACCTAAGTCTGCCTGGTCTGGTCCTGGGGGAGCCCAGTCTCCCCAAGAGGAAGACGTCATGGGTGCTAGTTCTTTGTCATTGATGGGGGTAATAATAGCATTTTCTTTAAATAATAATGCAAGAAATCCACAGAGTCTATTTAATGAGCAAAGGAATTTATCAGGGGGTTAACTCACAACCATGGGAGATTTATTGTAGGTCTGGGAAAGCTGGGCTATGTCCCATACTGATTTGCCTGGTCCAAGGTCTCAGCATCCAATACCATGAGAAAGTGAAGAGAACTGTATATGTGCATCCCAGCTCTTAAGGCCCTCCCCCAGAGGCCACACCCCAGGGGCATGTACTTCAAGGTTATAGGCAGGTATAACAGTTACCTGCTACCTCACTAGGGGCAGTGCTTCAAGGTCATAGCTGGAACAGCTACCTACTCCGGAATAATGACTTGCTTCAGCCCCTATGTTAAAGGGAATATATGAACCAGGTGTGGCGGCTCAGGAACTCACACCAGGACAGGAGGATTGCTGCAAGTGTGAGTCCTGTGCTACAGAGTGAGTTCAGAGCCAGCCTGTGCTATATAGTGAGACTCTATCCCCCCAAAACAAAATAAAGGGTCACAAAAAGGAAAAAAAAATCAGGCATGGTAGCACCCTTGCCTGTAGCAGCCTTGCACTTTTGGAAAGGTGGAAACAGGAGGATCAGAAGCTCAAGGTCATCATCTACATGGTGAATTCTCAGCTAGCCTGGGCTACAGGGAACCCTCTCTTCAAAAAAGCACCTGTTGGAGGATTAGACATGAAGCTCAAGTTCAGTGTCCTTCCTGACATCAGAAATGTTTTCATCCCCCTCCCCACATGTACACACTGAAGGTTTATCTCAGGAGATTTCGACCCTGATGATGGCCTGGGTCTGTGCTGTGACCCAAGAATTCTTCCTCTATTTGATCTGCGGAGGCTCTTGTTTGAGGGATTTGGGGATTGACAGCTCCCCAGGTGCCTCTGATAAGCTGCCAACGGTTGAGTGCCTAGATCCAGCTCTGTGGGTCTTGTTGGAACAGGGGATGGCTCACCCACCCACAGGAGCACCGATGGCTTTTGAAAAGGGCCTGGCAAACAGCTCCGTGCACACAACAAACAGCTCGGTGAGGTCTTATCTGCTCAACCCAGGCTGCCCCACTGGACTTTAGCTTGGCAGAGCCCCCTGCCAGGACCCGTTGGCCCTGCTCCGTATGGTCTTTGAACCTCCCGACAGCAAATCCAAGGTCAGACGTAGATACCAGGCCAAGGCTCTTGGTCTGGCTGACTCTCAGTTTCCCTGGCTGCAAAAATGGAAGAAATATCCCTGTTTTTAGCACCCAGCTCCTACGAATCGCTGGGGTTTGGGGGCAAGGGGAACAGTAGCCATTTGACAGCTGCCAAAAAAAACACATCCACCGAGATGATCATGGGACAGCAAAATTGTAAAGTGACATATTCTCTTACAATTTGCTAAGGAGCCGATAGTCCTTGTAATGAGCTCCAATCTTTCGTTTTCTGTGGTTTTTCCATTATTTATTTATTATTGTTTTTTGTTGTGGTGGTTGCTGTTTGGGGGTTTTTTGTTTGTTTGGGGGGGTTTATTTATTTATTTATTTTTTTTGGTCTGGCGACTGAATCCAGGGCCTTATACATGCTAGGCAAGTGCTCTACCTCTGAGCTATATGCCAAACCCCTCAGGTGGGTTTTCTTTCCTTTTTCTTTTTCTCTTTTTTTTTGTTTGTATGTTTGTTTTTGTTTTATTGAGACAGGGAAGAGAGGAGGGGAGAGGAGGGGAGGAGAAGAGAGGAGGGCCGGACTGAGGAGAGTCTGAGGAGAAAGCCCTGTGCAGACCACACAGATGAAATGAGGGCTGATGAGTCTCCCGTCTCAGAGAGTTCACAGGCAGAGGATTAAGGGGTGTCTTCAGGGGTTCTAGCCCAGGCCAGAGGACTGCTCAGATCCCTGGGAGTCTAGGGTCATGATTCACACATGTGAAGGATGAGATCCGCCCGAGGCTAGCAGAAGGAATGAGCCAGACTCACATAAAACAAGACACAAGTGTGTTCCAGGCCAGCTGCTTGTGGCCGGCTGAGCACTGAAGGCAGGAAGACCTGTGTGGGCTAGGAGGAGGCGGGGCGGAAGCTTTCAGCACAGCCTTGGAGAAGGGGAGGGCTTGGGGGGACGTGAGGATGTTCTTGGTAGGAGACCCCACTGGTACCGAGGAGAGACGGTAGGAATGAGGACCACGGGGAAGGAGGCCTCCATAGGCAGTGTATAGTTTTTTTTTTGGTTTTTTTTTTTGTTTTTTTTGATTTTCGAGACAGGGTTTCTCTGTGTAGCTTTGCGCCTTTTCCTGGAACTCACTTGGTAGCCCAGGCTGGCCTCGAACTCACAGAGATCCGCCTGGCTCTGCCTCCCGAGTGCTGGGATTAAAGGCGTGCGCCACCACCGCCCGGCTAGTGTATAGTTTTTGAGACAAAGGGCTTGCTATGTTACACAGGCTAGTCTGAACCTCACTGTGTAGCCCAGGAAAGACTCTATCTCCCTATGAAGGGCAACGTGACCTCAAACTCAAAATACTCCTGTCTCCTTCTCTGAGTGCGGGGATTACAGGTGTGTGCCAACATGTCCTATCTACAGAGTTCGTTATTCTTTTTTTTTTTTTAAAGACTTATTTGTTTATTATGTATGCAGTGTTCTGTCTGCATGTATGCCTGCAGGCCAGAAGAAGGCACCAGATCTCATTGCAGATGGTTGTGAGCCACCATGTGGCTGCTGGGAATTGAACTCAGGACCTTTGGAAGAGCAGCTAGTGCTCTTAACCTCTGAGCCATCACTCCAGACCCCCGTTATTCTTTTTTATTTTTTATTTATTTTATTTATTTATTTTGGTTTTTCGAGACAGAGTTTCTCTCGAAAAGCTTTGCACCTTTCCTGGAACTCACTTGGTAGTCCAGGCTGGCCTCGAACTCACAGAGATCTGCCTGGCTCTGCCTCCGAGTCCTGGGATTAAAGGCGTGCGCCACCACCGCCCGGCCCGTTATTCTTATTATATTTATTGTGTGTATGCACATACCATGGTGTGTGTTGGGGGGGGGGGTCAGAGAACAACCTGGGGAGTCAGCTCTTCCCCTCCACAAGAAAATGGCAGCTACTCAGCCTTCTCCATCTTCTCAGTGAAAAACAGGAATCCAACACTCACTCCAGGCATGGTAGCACACGGCTACCATCCCAGCACTCCAGTGGCTGAGGCTGGAGAATCTCATGTTCGAAACCAGCTTAGGCTATCTGGGGTGTCCCGCAGGGTGGGTGTGAAGGTGGACCGATGTTATCAGGCTGTGAAGCATGGTCGTGGAAAGAGGGGAAGTAGCAGCCTCCTTAGGAAGGAGCCTGGTTATGGGTGGGTGTTGGAAAACAAAAACTCAAGAAAGAAGAAGTAGGGTTCAGTCAGGCCAGGGGCTCAGCAAGCCCGCCCCCAGGCATCTTATGGAGGACTCAGGAAACAAATCAGATACAATCTTTCTGCCTCCCTCACCCACCATTTATTGAGTGCCTATTGTATACCTGGCCCTAGCCATGTACTAAGGGAAAACAAGGGACCCAAGATCACCAGCCTTTTCTTTTAACAATTACTCTCTGTGCCGGGTATGACTAGGATCTCTTTCATTTGAATGTTTGCAACCATACGAGGCAGCGGACATCAATCACCCCTACGTTGTGGGGGATAGGGGGCGGGGGGGGGGGGGGGGGGGGAGAGTGAGGCTTTGCTGGGGATGTGGCTCAGCCGGCAAAATGTGTGCCTAGCAAGCATGAAAGCCTGGGTTCTGTTCCCAGCCCTGGAATAAACCAGGTGGGGTGGCCCCGGGCCTGCAACCCCAGCATGGGGAGATGGAGTTACTTGCCTGAGATCACACATCCAATGAGGAGCCGGGAGAGATGCCAGAGGGCTCCGCCCTGTTCCAACGGGGGGGGGGGGGGGGGGGGGGGATGGAGAAAGTGCAGGAGAGAGGCAGAGACTCTCCCTGAGTGGAGCTCAGAGCTGGAGGCCAGAGCCCCGGAGGGCATCAAAGGCTTGGGGGGGGGGGGGGGGGGGCATGTGTGTTTGGCAGCTCAGGACAACGCTCGCTAGAAGGCTTTATTTCCTGCAGACTCAGCCCCCCCACACCCTGAGGCCGCCCCTCCCTAAGCCCCCCCAAGCTTGGAGAGCAGATTGATCAGACCATCCAGACCTGACTTGCAATCTCTAGAGGGTTGAGAGAGGAGGGGGTACAGACCCCAGGAGGTGGTGGCGCCAGGACTGTAGCACAATCTGCCCACGGCAGCCAGACATTCCCAACCCTGCTTGGGCTGACAAGGTCCAGGGACCAGGCAGGCCCAGCTGTGTATCGTCACCGAGTCTCCGAGGCCAGACACACAGACATCTATCTGGCTGAGAGGTCTCCTTGAACCCACTGCAAAGCTATATGGCTGGCTGACGCCCACCTTGTGTCCCCCCACCATGTGACTCTTGGGCTCCCTTCAGCAGAGCAGAGCCTGGCCATGGTGACAAGGTGACTTGTCAAGGTTAGAGGTCACGGCTCAGTAGAGGAGTCTCTATTTGTTGCCATGACAACAGCTCCAGAGGCAGCATCTCCAATGAGAGCTTTGGCTGGTCCCTGGGGACTGAACTCGTGACCTTGGCTTGGAATTAACTGTTCGTTAGGAAACTATTTGATTTGCTCATTCATGGTGTTCCCACCCCCCTCCAGTCCCTGGCGCCTCCCAAAACAGCCCTGGGTCAGATAGCCAGAACCCCACCCAAAGAGAGCTGCCCAGGGGCCAAGGACACTGGCCTTGCACTATCCTATCAGAGTGGGAATGGCTGACGGCAGGCAGCAGCTACATCTCCTAATTGGTGTCACCACCTAACCTGCCCTCTGAGAACTGGCTCCAGCCTTACCACCCAGCTCCAAGCAAAGTCGTGGGCAAAGCAGGTAGGCAGAGTCCCTTGCCCAGTACCCAGCCACAACCACAGGCAGGGTCCCCTCTCTTCAACAGTGTTAAGCCTCCTGCTCAGAGTAGTGGCCTGGGTTCATTCCAGGCTTCATGTTTATCCAGCTGTGTGGCCCCGGCCACTTCCCTTAACCTCTCTGGGCCTGATTTCAAGTCTGCTGGAACTACATTCAGAATTTCTGTGTCCCTCCAACTTCATTGAGATACTTTGAGAAGAATGAGAACATGCAAAGCCAGGTGTGGTGGTCCGTGCCTATAATCTCAGCCACTCAGGAAGTTGAGGGAGGGGATGGAGGGGGGGCACGGGGAAAGGGGATTTGCAAGGTCAAGACCAGTCTGAACTACATAGTGAGAACCTGTCTCATTTAAACAAGAACTGGGGGTATGATTCAGTGGTAGAAGGACTGGGGGTGTGGCTCAGTGGGAGAGCACCTGCCTAGAATCCCCTAGTGAGGGGCTGGGGTGGCTCAGTGGGAGAGCACCAGCCTAGAATCCCCCAGTGAGGGGCTGGGGTACGGCTCAGTGGGAGAGCACCTGCCTAGAATCCCCCACTAAGGGCCTGGAAAGAAAGCTCAGTGGTAGAGTGCTTGCTAAGCACACATACATACACACACACACACACACACACAGAGAGAGAGAGAGAGAGAGAGAACAAAAAAATATAAATAGCAGTTGTTTACCCTCAGACACTGATCTATAGACAAACAATACTATGATCATTATCTATATCTTCATTAAAACATGTTCAATGCCAGGCAGTGGTGGTATATGCCTTTAATCTCAGAGCTCAGGAGGCAGAGACAGGTGATTTTGAGGTGATTTTTGATCTCTGTGATTTTGAGGACAACTTCATCTATAGAGAGAGATTCAGGACAGCCAGGGCTATACAACATAGTGAGACCCTGTCTCAAAAAACCAAAAGGAAAAAAAATTGTTTGGTAAGCCTGACTAATCAAAAAGTCTACCTCCTTCCTTCTAGGGGTTCCAGGAGGTGTGCCTGGTGGAGTTCCTGGTGGAGTCTATTATCCAGGTAATGTAATGAAGTTTCTACACACCTATGTATGACCGATGGGGATGGACTGTTCACGAGAAATACAATATTTTTTAATATTTTTATTATATTTGCATATGGAGGTCAGAGAACAACTTTTTTCATTTAGTTTGGTTGTTTCTTTTTGTTTGTTTTGCTTTGTTTTGTTTTTGAGATAGAGTCTTAACTATGTATCCCTGGCTGGCCTGGAACTCACAGAGTCCCACCTGCCTCTGCCTCTGCCTCTGGAGGGCTGAGATTAAAAGTGTATGCCACCATGCCCAGCTCCATAGGACAATGTTTGGGAATCGGATCTCTCCTACCACCATTTGGGTCCCAGGAATGGAACTCAGTCTGTTAGGTTTGGTAGCAAGTGAGCTTTACCCACAGGCCAGAGATGTGCTAACATTTAGATTCCTGGCACCGAGGACCTGCAAATCAGGCCCACATTCTGAAGATGTTAACCAGGCTGGGGATGTGGCTCAGTTAGCAGAGTGTTTCCCTAGCATGTGGGAAACCCTGGGTACCATCCCCAGCACTGCATAAACCAGGTATTGTGGTGCATGCCTGCAATCCCAGCGCTCAAGAGGACAGACATTTCAAGGCCATCCTTGGCTCTAGAGAGAGCTCAGGCCAGCCTGGGCTGTGTGAGACCCTGCCTCCAAAAAAGCGATGCAACTAATTGGAGCGAGATCTGAAGGCACACATCTGTAACAGTAGCATCCCAGACACAGAGAGTCAAGAGTTCAAAGCCAGCTTGAGCTGCGTAGCAAGACCCAGTCTCCACCCTAAAGAAGGCTGCTAATGGAACAGCTATTAGGAGCATAAATATTGTACAAGATGGAGCATAATCCCCGCTGTCAGGAGGCTGGCGCCTTCACACATTCCTGTCACTGGACGGTTCACAGTCCTCGAAGCATTAATCCCACTCTTGGCAACCCACCGGAGGCAAATAACAGAAAAGAGAAATAGAGCAACTAAGCTGGAGATGTGGCTTGGTTGGTAGAGTGCTTGCCTGGAGTGTGTGAAGCCCCGGCACCTCGTAAACCAGGGGCCGTGGCGAATGCCTGTGATCAGCGGGCGAGCGAGCGAGCAAGCTATCCACATTGGTGAGCTTTGGGTTTGACTGAGACACCCCGCATCAATGAATAAGGTGGAAGAGTGATAGAGGATAACTCTAGACATCAAGTTTGGGCTTCCACAGGCACACACACACACACACACACACACACACACACACACACACAATGGAAAGAAAATAACTGACATGAACTCAGAAGTCCTGCTAGTTCCATCCTGGGACAAACTGACATGAGGCTATTGAGCCGGTAAGACAGACAAAGAAACTAAGGGTCAGAGACGTTGACTTGCCCAAAGTTCTGCGGCTAGAATTTGACAGTGGGTGGTGGGGTGTGACTTGTCTGGATACTAATCGCCGATATTTCTCTCTCTCTTTCTCAACACACACGACAGGGGCTGGTATCGGAGGCCTGGGAGGAGGAGGAGGTAAGAAGGTAGCCTTAGACTCCTCAATGAAAGGATCTGGATACCATCAAAACCCCCCAACACACATCATTAGACCTAAGGTCTTCAAGAGATCCCAGCAACTAATGTTAGACAGATTGAGCATCCCCTGGGAAAGAGACCTATGATGGCCCTTTTAGGACCCTCTACCTGATGGCCTCTACCTACTTTTATATTTCTTTGATCTCTTCTCTAACATTCCTGCCAGGTGGAGAGTAACTCCTTTGGGGGGAAAAAAACTGAGAAATTGCTGGAGATGCCTAAGACCCCGGCACTTAGGAGGTAGAAGCTGGGGGATCAAGAGTTCAGAGTCATCCTTGACTACATAGCAAGTTCGAGACCAGCCTGAGCTACACAAGACAGTCTCAAAACAAACTGTCACTCAACCAAAAATCCAGAGGGAGAGATGGGCTCCCAGGGGCTCCATGTCTAAGCAAGAGGACTCTCTGGACATCTCCTTCAGCACTTGGGGAAGAGACCTACATGCAGCTCTCAACCTCTACTGTGGGGCAGGGTTGAACAATGGATAAGTACTAAGAGATGGAAGGGGTACAAGTCTGTAATACCAGAACTTGGGAGGTAAAGGGAGGAGATTCAGGAGCTCAAAGCCATCCTTGGTTATATCTCGAATTTGAGGCCAGCCTGGGCTATGATGAAGCCCTGTCTCAGACGAGAGAGAGAGAGAGAGAGAGAGAGAGAGAGAGAGAGAGAGAGAGAGAGAGAGGTGAGTCACCTCTTCCCTGCCATTCACATTCATTCTCATCTCTTCCCTCTGCAGCTCTGGGACCTGGAGGAAAACCACCTAAACCAGGTAAGATCTAAGTAGGACCCCTGAAATGGGGAAGGTAGAATTCCCAGAGCCATGCCAGGCAAGGGAGCCGAAAGAAGGGAGCTGTAGGCAGTGAAAGCCCCCAGGTATCAACAGGCTAAAGCCAGGCTACAAGTTGGCCAGGGACAGGAGGTTAGAGGCAGTTCAATGGCCTGTGTCCTGCATGAGCCCACTGTACCAGCTTTCTGGAGACTTCCCTCTGTTCACAGTCCCAGAAACAACCCTGTTGCTTCAGGCAAAGCAGAATCTAAGGTCCCCATGGTCCCCTATAAGGCAGCACTTGGAATGAAAGACCCCAGACACTATATCTAGACATTTGACTTCTGACCCAGATGTGAGCTCAACTTTAAGCTAAACCTGACCCCGACCCCAGATGACCTCCCTGCCTGTTCCCAGCCTGCTTCCAGCTGTGTCTAGACCATGGAACTTTCTAGTAAGAAAAAAAATCATAGCTCTGTCTTATCAACAGTGCTGGGATCTGCCAGCAGTGGTCACTCTGAGCTTTGAGGAGGTGGCAAAGGAGGGCAGGGGGTCTCTCAATGAAACACTTGGATAAGAAGCAGGTGGAGGTCATGGTCTGGTGGTACACACCTATAAGCTTAGATACTTAGAAGGCTGAGACAGGAAGATTCTGAGTTAAAGAGGTCAGCCTCAGATACATAGCAAGACCTTGTCTCAGAATAAAAAGTAGAAAGAATACTGAGGGCATGGCCCAGTGGTAGAGCACCTGCCTAGAATCCCCCAGTGAAGGGCTGGGGTGTGGCTCAGTGGTAGGGCACTTGCCTAGAATCTCCCAGTGAGGGGCTGGGGTGTGGCTCGGTGATAGAGCACCTGCCTAGAATCCCCAAGTGAGGGGCTGGGGTTTGGCTCAGTGGTAGAGCACCTGCCTAGAATCCCCCAGTGAGGGGCTAGGGGTGTGACTCAGTGGTAGGACACTTGCCTAGAATCCCCCAGCGAGGGGCTGGGGTGTGGCTCAGGAGTAGCATGTTGGAAACCCTGTGTTCATTCCTCTTAATACACACACACACACACATACACATACACTCACACTCTCACACACTCACACACAACTGCATCCCAGTCATGTTGACGCCCTTCCCCCATGTGTGATGCTCTGTATGTGGCAAATGCATCCCCACCCAGTGCCTGCCACCCTGGCTTTAAAGTCACATGCTCCTGGACAGTTTAGATGTCCAACTGCTCTTACAAAATCCTGATGACAGATGACCCAACTACTAATGAATGTGTGAGAAGCAGATTCCCCTTCACGGAAGCCTACGGGAGTTGTGAAACTTCAGGGTGAGGGCCAGCAAGGGGAGAAAAGGACGGGGCATCTGGGCAAGCTAGGTCCTAGGGACTGGGAGTTTTGTAAGGCTAGGAGATCTCGTGGCTTGTTAATTCTCCTTGTGGTACCAAGGATTGGAACTCAGGGTCTGTTACATTCAATGCAAGTGTTCTACCACTGAGCTATCTCTCCCTGGACCTCTTTTTACATTTCTTCAAAAGTGACATTTATTTACTGGTTTGTGTATTTATTTATTTATTATGGGTACAGTATGCATGCACCACAGTGTGCCTGAGGAGATCAGAGGACGGCTTTGAGTGTTAATTCTCTTCTTCTACCACGTAGGTCCCAATAAAGGAACTCGTGTCTTCAGGCTTAGTGACAAGTGCCTTCATCCACTGAGCCATTTTATTTTTATTTTCATACAGGGTCTCACTAAGTTGCCCAGGCCGACCTTGCACTATAGAGCCCAGACAGGCCTTGAAATATAGATCCTCCTGCCTCAGCCTCCTGAGTAGCTGAAATGGTAGGCATGTGCTACCAGGTCCAGTTCCGACGGTCACCTTTTAGCCTCGGGATAGACTGAAGTCTCTAACAGGCTTGGCCAGGCCACCATGAATAATCCCTACATCCTGGCTAGAGGGATGTCCGGGCCTGCCCAGGCAGGATGGGATGGGGTGCAGAGATTGTACAGATCGTGTTTGGGAACAATTAATCCCCTGGGAGCAAGGGTGGGTGGCTTGGCAGCTGCTCCTCCATGTGGGTGCTGTAGGCTGGCCCCTCCCTGCCTGAGCTCTCAGTGGGGGACCAGGCAGCTGGGAGCCAGCACTACCCACACCCAGAGCACCAGCTGGAGGCCAGCCTGCTGGCCAGCCGCTACAAACAAGGGGTATAGGCAAGGACAGGAAGGAGCCAGGATGAGTACCCCGGGGGACACCCTGGCAGGTTGCACACAGTAGGCGCTTCCTGCTCACAAGCTCTGTGGCCCCAAGAAGACAGGGATCACAGGAAAAGCCACAAATCGATGGGCAGCTAGCCGAGCGTAGTGACACAAGCCTGTCATCCCAGCATTCAAGAGGCAGAGGCCAGAGGATCACGAGTTCAAGCTTAACCAGGGCTACAGAGTGAGTTAAGTATTGTAGAAACTGAGGCAGCAAAACCACCAGTTCAAGGCCAGTCTGGGCTATACGCAAGTTCAAGGCTAGCCTGAATTACACAGTGAGACACTAAGTCAAGAAAGCAGGGGGGGCGGGGAATATATATATATATATATATATATATATATATATATATATATATATATATATATATATATATATATATATATACACACACACACATAGACAGAGAGAGAGAGAGAGAGATAACGGCCAGACATAGTAGCACATGCCTTTAACCCTAGCACCTGAGAGGCAGAGATAGGCAGATATCTATGAATTTGAGGCCAGCCTGGTCTACATAGCAAGTTCCAGGCCAGCCAGCCAGCCAGCCAGGGTTATACAGTGAGACCCTTTCTCAAAAAAAAAAAAAAAAAAGCTAGGCCTGGGTGTGTGGCTGAGTTGGTAGAGCACTAGCGTGCACAGATCCCTGGCTTCCATCCCCAGCACCACATAATAAAGCATGGAGGCATGTGTCCGTAATCTCAGCAACCAAGAGGGACAGACCAGAGGGTCAGGAGTTCAAGGTCACACTGGCTGCCTATTGCATTTAAGGCCAGCGAGAGCTACATGAAACCCTGCCTCAAAAAGTAGAGAAGACTAGAGAGACGGTCTTAAGAGCACTGGCTGCTCTTGCAGAGGACTAGGGTTCTGTTCCCAGCACCCACAGGCTAGCTCACATGTAACTCTGCTTCCAGGGAATTCGACTCCCTTTACTGGTGTCATCAGCACCAGACACTCACACACATACGGTGCACGTACATACAAGCAGGCCAAACACGCAGACATATAAGATATAAACAAATCTTTTAAAGATTATCATTTAAGGTTCGGGAGAGATGGCTCCGTGCTTAAGAGCACATACTGCTCTTACAGAAGACCCAAGTTCAGCTCCCAGCACCCGCATCAGGCAGTCCATAGTGGCCTATATCTCAGCTTCAGGGGATCGGCCACCTCTGGCGTCCGTGAGCACCGGCACTCATGTGCACATACCCCATATACAGACACATACAAATACACACAATTAAAAATAAATAAATCTTTTAATTACCATTTTAAAAATAATAATAAAGATGGGGAAAGTGAGGCTCAAAAAAGGTAAGGTGACTCCCTCATCTACACAGGCCATAGGAAGGAGCAACAGAATCTGAGTCTAGAACTTTCTGACTCGGGGGGGGGGGGGGGGGGGGGGGGGGGGGGGGGAGGACTCGCTAGTAAGGCTCTGGGCTCCCAGCTGGGATCCGACTCTAACTCTTTCTCCCTCTCTCCAGGTGCTGGGCTTCTGGGAGCATTTGGAGCAGGTGAGTCCAAAAGACATTGAGAACAGGTTTGCAAGTGATGGGAATAAACTGGCTGTCGGTAAAAAGCTGGCGACAGTAGAGACCAGGCCTTTCCCTGCAAACTTCACCCCATTCTTTCCTACTTTCTGTCCAGTCTTGTCCTCTCAGCCCCTCCACTGGACAGGAAAGATCTGAGCATGCCCCCTATCCTCTGCAAGCGTAGAAAACAGGACTAAAGCTTTGAGAGGAGCTGTGGACGGAACTGGGGAGAGACTGGGAGGGGAGACCAGGAAATGATTGATCCAGGCAGCCCCAGCCCCTGCCTACCACCATACCATACTACATGACTCATTCCAGACCCGTCTTATGGATGTCTGCAACACATACATGCATATATGTATGTGTATGTCTTATGGTCTTTGGCACATGCTTGGCAATCACTCTATCTACTGAGCTACATGCTCAGCCCTCATACAGTTAGTGGATGAGTGGGGAAAGCTGGTCAGAGGAAAGATAATATCCCATGAGAGCCAGGTAGACCCCCCTCCTCAGGGCTCAGCAGACCCTAGGCTTTGGGGAGTCCCTAGAGGACTTCGCCCTACAGCTCTAGATCCCACCACCAGAGCTGGTGCTGGCAAGAGGGATTTTTCCCATAATTGGAAACAAACCTGCCATGGCAAGCCTCCCAAACTCCAACCTAACTGGGCCCATCGGTCAAGGCCAAGGCCGTGGAATGTCTCCTGGAGGAGGAGAAGCAATGATCGGGCCCAGATGTGGAAAGGAGAGAGCCAGAGGGACCCATTTGGCTTCTCATGAATCTCAGCAAGGAGGATTCTGGATGGAAGGCTGGCTAGATGTGGTACGGGAAGGACTCCCAGGATGGGGGATGTGGCACCGTTCATACAGCCCTGACCTAGCGTGCATAAAGCCCTGAGTTCCAAGCCCAGTACCACATAAACTGGACTTTCTGGTAACTGCCTAAAATCGTAGCATTTGGCAGGTAGAGGCAGGAGGATCAGAAGTTCAAGGTCACCCTCAGACGCATCGCGAGTTTGAGTCAAGCCCGGGCTACAGGAGACCCTGTCTCAAAACACAGAAAGCAGGAAGTGGGGAGAGACACACTTACAGATCCAGGGGGAGGGGAGGGGTCTGTGTCAGGACATAGCATCAAGGAAGCAGAGAAGATGCCTGGGGTGGCAGCTACCAATGGGAGCAAGGCTGGCCTGGGAGGGAAGAGGGTTTGCTGACAGACCACTTCTGCCCTTATAGACAGCCAGCTGGATCCTGCCAATTGCCAGGCATCCTAGGAGATGCACAGGCTAATCACACTTGTTAGAGACAGTCATGTCAGCTCCACACATAACATTTGATCACCATGTGATGGTTTCAGATTCATCAGGACCCTCCACCACCAAAGTACCAAAGACACAGGGACCAGCCTAGACACCCACCCCCACCCCATTCCATGATGACACCCATCTTACAAGGAGCCCAGCTGTGACATCCACACCCTTAGCACCTCTCCCTCTCTCTTCTTCACAGGCCCTGGAGGACTCGCAGGTGCTGGCCCCGGGGCAGGTTAGTGTGAACACCTGAGCAAGATGCTCACTTCTCACCGCAGCCTAGGGCGCCTGCCTGGGATAAACAGCAATCAGAGCACAGAGGAGGAGACACGTGTTGATGAGAACATGGATGAAGAATGACACCAACGTCAACTGCTCCTAAGAAGCTGCCCAGGGGGACAGTTGTAATATAGAGATGAGACTAGAGAGAGGCGTCTCCCAAAAACCCAGGGGTAGATCTGCCCACCAGAAAAGGCATATGAGCAATCTGGGAACCAGGAATGGTATGGTGCATGCCTAGAATACTCGCCCTGAGGAGACATGGCATAGTGATATGAGGTTCAAGGCTGGCCTGGACTACATAACAAATCCCAGGCCAGCCTGGCTATATAGACTTTGTCTCAAAAAAAGACAAAATACTGAGGCTGGGCATGGTAGCAGACATCTTTAATCTCAGTACTCAGGAGGCAAAGGCAGGAAGATCTCTGTGAGTTCAAGGCCTGCCTGGTCTGCATAATGAGTTCCAGGGCAGCCAGAGTTACATAGTGAGACCTTTTCTCAGATATGTAAATAATAATGTACATATATATTATGCATATATATAAATAATATTTGTATATGTATATATTTGTATACATATACATTTGTGTGTATATATACATATATATGTATTTACATATGTATACATACATTTTGAGACTGAGCTTGCCTGCTCTGGCTTCCCTTCTCCAGCACTGCATAAACCATAAACTCCAAGTACCTGGGAACCCAGCACTTGGGAGGCAGAGGATCAAGGAGTTCAAGGCTATCCTCAGTTACATAATGATTTCCAGGCCAGCCTGGACTACATACATAGCCACACTTGGTCTCAAGAACTAAAAAGATGCACACAGCTTTGTCAGGCTGAGCTGAGCAGTTAGGCATATGCGCATCCTCTGACACAGAGGTTCTCAACCTTCCTAATGCTGTGACCCTTTAATACAACTCCTCATGTGTGGTGACCCCCACACACACTATATTATTTTCATTGCTATTTCATAACTGTAATTTTGCTACTTAAAATCATATGTAAATATCTGTTTTCCAATGGTCTTGGGCGACCCCTGTGAAAGGGTCACTCCACCCCAGAAGGGTCATGACCCATGGGTTGAGGACTGCTGCTCTAACACATGCTCCCATCCTGGTGAGCAGGGGCCACCATGTGACACTGGACACCTTCAGAGGACACAGAATGTTGAATACTCTTCCTGAGTGAAAGGGTCCAGGCTGGGCTGAGGCTCGGCAGCTCCCACTGAGCATGGCAGTACTGGACCTCAGGACCTCAGTTACACTCTCCTCCACAGGTCTGGGGGCCTTTCCTGCAGGTACCTTTCCAGGGGCAGGAGCTCTGGTGCCTGGAGGAGCAGCGGGGGCTGCTGCAGCTTATAAAGCTGCTGCCAAAGCCGGTGAGTGGCATTTTTTAGGGATAGTTCCATCAGCCCCCTAGCTTTCCCAGACTCTGAAATTCTCAGAGAATTCTCCCTCATCCAGACCCAGGAGATAGAATTGGGGGAGGGGGGAATCCTCATCCAGACCCAGGAGATAGAATTGGGGGAGGGGGGATCCTCATCCAGACCCAGGAGATAGAATTGGGGGAGGAGGGAATCCTCATACAGACCCAGGAGATAGAATTGGGGTGGGGGGGGCGGGGGGGGGGGATTCCTCCTCCCCTGGAGAGATGATGTGGGCAGCTAGTTGCACCAAGTCTTGAAGATGCTTGGTGACAGGACCAGACCTTAACACCTGACCCTCAAGGCACAGTTTCTGTCTGACCCCAGAACTCTCCTGCTTCTGGCTATGCAGGGGCGGGACTTGGTGGAGTTGGTGGTGTTCCTGGTGGTGTTGGAGTTGGTGGTGTCCCTGGTGGTGTTGGAGTTGGCGGCCTCCCTGGTGGTGTTGGTGGTATTGGTGGCATCGGTGGCTTAGGAGTATCAACAGGTATGGTGGCCGGACCTGAGTGCACTCAAGGTGGGTCCTGCAGAGTCAAGGTGGGCCCGGGTAGAGTCAGCTCTACAATCCCTTCTGCTCAGGTGCCGTCGTGCCTCAAGTCGGAGCTGGAGTCGGAGCTGGAGTCAAGCCTGGAAAGGTTCCCGGTCAGTGCAGAATCTATGGGGGATGGAGGTTAGAGGTCAGGGAGAGGAGGTCTAGGAGTCTGCAGAGGTCAGAGCCCGCCCCCACCCCCGCCCCCAACAGGCTGGAGGATGAAGGGAACAGCACATGCCAGATCCAAAGCAGCAGACCTGTTTGGGCAATGGAGCTGGGTGACTTGACCTGACTTCTAAAAATTTCTGTGATCTTGGAGCACAAAGAGACCTCACAGACAGGCTCTGGATCACAGATGGGGAAACTGAGGTTTAAATGTTGAGTCAGGACAGAAGGGCCCACAGCTGTTCCCGGTAGAGCTGGAGGGGAGCCCAGCATCCTGCGGCACCCCCATCTGGTGCTCATTTGGCCCTGTGCTCTTTAGGAAGTGACTTCAGGTTAAATACAAGGCGAACATCTGGAAGCCTTTAGACTTGAGGTGGGCTGGCTGGGCTGCGTCAACAGGCTGTGGGCTCCAGAAGACAGTTAAATCAGTGCTCTGAAGGAGCTGCAGGCTCTCCGACATGGGGCAGGGAGAGCTGTGGTCAGGCTATGTCTGTCTCTAGCTGCCCCAGTGGGCACGCTGACTTGCGAGTCCAGGACCGCTTGTTGCCGCTGTCTGGGGGGATGAGCACACCTCTGCTAAGGTTCCTTGTCCTTTTGTCTGTCTCCAGGTGTTGGTCTTCCCGGTGTATACCCCGGCGGAGTACTTCCAGGCACAGGTGAGAGCAAGAAGGATGAGCTGGGGGCGTAGCTCAGTTTGATAGTGCTTACTTAGCAGGGATTCCATCCCCAGCGTCACATAAATCAGGTGTGGTGGGACATGCATTTAATCCCAGCACTTTGAAGGCTGAGGCATAAAGATCTTAAGTTTGAGGCCAGCCTGGGCTACATACTGTGTTTTCAAAAAACAAAAACGGGGCTAAGGAGATGGCCCAGTGATTATGAGCACAGGCTGCTCTTCCAGAGAACCCTGGGTTCAATTCCCAGCACCCACTGACAACCATCTCTAACTCTTCTGGTCCCCAAGGGCACCAGGCATGAATGTGGTGTACAGACATGCACCCAGGCCAAACACCATACACATAAAATAAAGATACTTTCCTAGCATACACAAAGCCCTGGGTTCCATCCAGAGCACCTCATAAACCAGAAATGGCGATACATCCTTGTAATGCCAGCACTGGGGAGGTGGAGACAGAAGAATCCAGAGTTCAAGGTCATCCTTGGCCACATAACAAGTTTTAGGCCAGCCTGAACTACCTAAGACTCTATCTGAAAGGAAGGAAGGAAGGAAGGAAGGAAGGAAGGAAGGAAGGAAGGAAGGAAGGAAGGAGAAGGAGAAGGGAAGGAAGGAAGGGAGGAGAAGGGAAGGGAAGGAGAGAGGAAGGAAGAGAGAGAGAAAGAGAGAGAGAGAGAGAGAGAGGAAGGAAGGAAGGAAGGAAGGAAGGAAGGAAGGAAGGATGAGAGAAGTTAGGGATGTACCCTCTCACTCCCCCTCCTCCTAAATCTGAGACCAGCTGAGGCCAGTGACTGTTTGCCTAAGTGTCCAAGTTCAACTTAATGGACATTAGGTCCTTGGCAACAAAGGTCAGCTTCCCCAGCCCCACCCAATCCCTCACCCCAGGCCAACACCCTCATCAAGGCCTTAAAACCAGTCCTCCGAGGACAGATGGAGTCCCTAGTGTAGTGCGGCCAGCTTTTTCCCAAAAGCCCTGAGTCACCAGGCATAGGCACGCCCAGGAAGTCTGCCCTCCAGGACACCCCCTAAGAACTGCCCCTCACTTCTTTCCCTGCCAGGACCTACCTCCCCATCCAGCAGGGCCTCCTGAAATCCCCCAAAAGCCCAGATTCAGGGATTTGATGACAGAGCACCCCTTCCTTCCTGGTTGAGGCAGCCAAGCCCCAGGGGAGGCAGGAGGGGAGGGAAGCGTCTGGTAGATTCCAATCCATTGAGAGGTAGCCACTATGAGGCATTTTACACTGGCTGTGCCTCCCTATGCTCTCTCCCACCCAAGCGTTTACTAACCCCAATCCTGCTTGGTTAGCTTCTGCAATCAGACACATTCAGGGTGGTGTGGCTATGGATCTCTCTGTGCCTTTTCTCCTAAGCTTGGTCACGATGGATCTATAACTTACAGTTGAGGTCCACCGAGGCTGAGATCGGGCTCAGTGGACTTGAGATTAAGAGTCACATCTTCCAGCCAGGTCTAGTGGCACAGGCATGCTACCCTGGCCATTTGGACAGCTGAGATAGGTGAATCAAAAGTTCTAGTCTAGCCTGGGTAACTTAGCCAGCCTCTGTCTCAAAGAGTAAGAAGAGCACTGACTGTGGGGTGTGGGGGTGCTCAGTGGTAGAGCACCTGCCTAGAATCCCCCAGTGAGGGGCTGGGGTGTGGCTCAGTGGTAGAGCACCTGCCTAGAATCCCCCAGTGAGGGGCTGGGGTGTGGCTCAGTGGTAGAGCACCTGCCTAGAATCCCTCAGTGAGGGGCTAGTACATATTTGTGGCCCTGGATTCAATTCACAGCACCAAGAAATAATAGATAGATAGATAGATGAATATAGATAGATAGATAGATAGATAGATAGATAGATAGATAGATAGATAGATTGGACCCTCTCAGCTTGAGCCACAAAGAGGAAGAAGGTCCCCACAAACTGGTCCTTACTTTCCTTGCCCCATGAGTCCTGCCTGTGATTGACCATTAGCACTGAAATAGATTGGTTAATAGACCTCAGGTGGGCAGGGGTTGCCAAGCAGAGTACCCCTTCCCTCACTGTCACCCATGTCTCTGCCCGCTCAGGAGCTCGGTTCCCAGGTGTGGGGGTGCTCCCCGGAGTTCCCACTGGCACAGGAGTCAAGGCCAAGGCTCCAGGTATGTGCAGCCAACTGTGCTGGGGGCCAGGGTAGGATCCTCTGTCAGCCTGCAGGCCGCACTGGCCTGGGGTGTAAGGGAAACCTTGGGGTTCTAGGGTTATTGGGGGACTCCTGTGGGGACAGGGAGGTACTTCTTATGTCCCAGCCAGCCCTGCTTCTGTGGCAAGGAAAGGCAGAATGCTGCTCACAAAGCCCATAGAGTAACAGGTCTAGTGACCTAGGCCTATAATCCCAAGCAACTCAGGAGGCTGAGGCAGGAGGATTGAAAGTTCAAGGCCAGCCTGCACAACTTGGTGGGCCACTGTTTCTAATTAGTTAAAAGTAAAAAGAGGGCTGAGGGGTATGGCTCAGTAGTAGAGTACTTGCTTAGAAACCCCTAGTGAGCCAGGCAATGGTAGCATATGCCTTTAATCCCAGCACTTGGGAGGCAGAAGCAGTTGGATCACCAAGTTCTAGGACAAGCTGCACGACTCAGAGAAACCCTGTCTCAAAAATAAATAAATGAAATGGAAACAAAAGACTAGTGAATGAATGGGGGCAGGATGAGCCTTAGTGGTAGAGCACCTGCCTAGAATCCCCCAGTGAGGGGCTGGGAGTGTGGCTCAGTGGTAGAGCACCTGCCTAGAATCCCCCAGTGAGGGGCTGGGGTGTGGCTCAGTGGTAGAGCTCTTGTCCAGCATAAACAAAGGAAGCCCTGCACACTCAGCCTGGGCCGCAGTGACAGCTCTTTGTCTTTGCAGGTGGAGGTGGTGCTTTTGCTGGAATCCCAGGTGAGTTGAAGCTGCTCTCCCTGAGTGAGCTGGACACGCGGAAGCCTAGCCATACCTGCCCCATCCCCTTCATCTCTGTCTCTTCAAGGCTTGGGCAAGTGCTTATCACATACAAGTCTGAGGACCTAAGCTCAATCCCCAGAACCCATGTTCTGAAAATTAAAAAAGAAGAAGCATCAAAAGCCAGGCTTCTGCCCAAAGTGTCATCAGTCCCAGGCCATGGTCTCCTAACCCAGCAGTTCTCAACCTGCGGGTTGTGACCCCTCTGGGGGCTGAACGACCCTTTCACAGGGGTCACTTATCAGATGTCCTGCATATCAGTATTTGTGTTCTGATTCATAACGGCAGCAAAATTACAATTATGAAGTAGCGACGAAAATAATTTTATGGTTGGAGGGGGGGTCACCACAACATGAGGAACTATATTAATGGGTCACAGCATTAGGAAGGTTGAGAACCATTGCTCTAACCCAAACTCCCTAAATGTGGATCTGAAATGAAAGGAGACACCCAGCCCTGCCTAAGGTTGGCACAGATGAGTGTAGGGCATGTCTCTCGACTCCCGCCAGTCAATATCACTGGGGAGTGCTTCTCAGACCCCTGACAGAGAGACAGGGAGGCCCCTCTAGGCAGGACAGTTCCAGAGTGCTGCGGGGAATGAATTCACTCCACGTGAGCAGAGTGGACTGACGGGCAGGGGTTGAGAAGAGGCTGCTACCCAAGCCCGGGGTTTTAGTTTACTCTCTCTGTCCTTGCAGGCGTCGGGCCCTTTGGGGGACAGCAGCCTGGTGTCCCCCTGGGTTACCCCATCAAAGCCCCGAAGCTGCCAGGTAAGCCGGAGTTAGGTTTCAAGAGGCTTGGCCGGGGTGGAGGGAGACAAGCTTTGTGGGGTCGGTGGGTAAGCTCTTCCTGCACAAGTGTGAAGACCTGAGTTCGAATCCCCAGAACCCACATACAGCTGGCTGCAGCAGCGTGTATCTGTCATCCCAGAACTCCTATGATGAGATGGGGGCAGAGGCAGGAGACTCTGAAAGCTCATTGGCCAGCGACCCTGCTGTACACAACAGCAAACAACAAAGACCACACACACACAAACATGTACACACACACAGTGGTATCCATGCCTACACACATACACACACACACACACACACACACACACACACACACACACACACACACAAACATGTACACACACACAGTGGTATCCATGCCTACACACACACACACACTCACACAAATTACAAGACTTACCACTTAAAGCCAGGCATGGTTGGAGTAGGATGTAACCCCAGCACTCTGGAAGCTAGAAGCAGGAGGATTATGTGGTTTCAAGGCCAGCCTGGGCTACTAGCGAGTTACACAATGAGTTGGAAGCCCAGCCTGAGCTACAGAATGGGACCCTACCTCAAAACAAAATCAAGAAAGAATGGAAAAGAGAAGGGAAAACCCACCCTAGTCACATTGTAGCTACTATGTCTAGCTATCCGGCACCTCTGCCACAGCCATCAGTCCAGACAGCAGCTCCCTGTGGGGAGCATGCGCCCAAGGTAGACATTCAGATCCCGGGGACCATGTTGGGACTGAGGTTTGGAAAGGAGCGGGTGTCTTCTTCCTGCTCTACCTGATAGACTTTACTAACAGCTGATGATCCTCAAGAGGGTGTTAGAGGTCCTGTGGAGGGGGGAGATCTGTCTATTCAGGTAGATGGGAGATGAGCGAGGCGTCTCCCCCCATCTCTCCATCACGCCTTCTTCACCATCTATGCCTCCTTCCCTCCATTCATCCACCACTCCTTCCCTCTACCCATTTATCTCTCCATCCATCCATCCATTCATCTGTCTGCCCATCTGTCCATCCATCCATCCTTCCATCCATCCATCACCCATTCTCTCCACCCATTCCTCCCTGGTGATTCATCACCTCTCCTACCCATTTATCGCCCATCCATCACTTCTTCCCGATACCAATTCATCTCTCCATCCACCCTCGTCTCCTGCATTATACATCCATCCCTCCACCCACCCACATGCCCTACCTACCCCTTCCTCCCACCCCTGGGTCTCCTCTCAGTATCCATCCACGCACTGATCCTTCATTCCACCCATCCCTTGCTCTGTCCATAGGTGGCTATGGACTGCCCTACACCAATGGGAAGTTGCCCTATGGTAAGTAAGACCCCCATGGATTTGTGGTGTTCTGAGCCTTTCCAGCTCTATGGGCCTGGCAAAGGGTACCGAGGCCGCAGCCAAGGGCCAAGAGAGTGCCCAACTGGACTGGAGAAGGGGCAAGGTGCCAGAATAAAAATTCTCAAAGAACAAAGACTGATACTGAGGACTTGGCATTCAGCATTCAGCATTCAGTCCTGGCCCTCTTGCTTATCACAACTCCTTGAGCCCGCCATTTTCCCTTGTCTAAGACTCAGTTGTCTTTGTCTGTAAAATGGGATGGTGTCCCCTATGCATTCTTGTATCTGTGTACGCTCCTGTTGGAGGTGACGGGAGGAGACTCCAACTTAGTGGAACAGGAGAGGGCAGAGTGTCAAGGTCTGTGTGAGTGACAACCAAGCATCTTCTTTACAGGAGTGGCTGGTGCAGGCGGCAAGGCTGGCTACCCAACAGGGACAGGTAAGGGGGTGGGAACCTCACCTGCTTCCAGCCAAAGGGACACCAATACCCCCCAGCTCCAGGGACTGTCCAAAACACAACTTAACCCATCCTGCATGAAGACCTTGGGCCAAGCCTAGACTCTGATCCGGGTTGGGACAGCTCTTTGGCCTTTACTAGCTAAGAAGCCCCCAGCTACATCTGGGGGTCTGTGGGACTGGGAGCGTGGGACTCTGGAGATACCTGGACACCAGCGCCATGCTTAGGGTACTCTCACCTCCCCTCTTCTAGGGGTTGGATCCCAGGCAGCGGCTGCAGCAGCTAAAGCAGCAAAGTATGGTGAGTTTTCTAGAGACCCTTGACAGCCTCCAGACCCCCAACTCCCCCCATCCTGAGATGGTTGGAAGAATAACAAGCCAGATGGTTTCTGTGTCTCCTTCTTATCACCCTTTTCAACATGACCCAAACATATGGCTCTCCCTCTCCTTCCCTCCATCCCTCTATCTACCTATCCATCCATATCTCCGTCCCTTCCTTCATCCATCCATACCCCACCCACCCATCAACCCCTCTGTTCCTCAATCACTCTTCTCCACCCATTCATCCCTCCTTCTCTCTATCCATTGCTCCACACCTCCCTCGTTCCCTTATCCCACCCTCCACCCATCCCTCCACCTCTCCCTTCCACCTATCCCTTGTTCATCACTCCTCTCCATTCATCCTTCACCCCTCCCTCCACCCCCTACTCTTCTCTCCCTCATCCTTCCTTCATCATCACCCTCCTTCAGTCCATCCACCCACCCATCTTTCCTTCTCTTCCTTTTCCCTCCATCCATCTCGTATTCATCCATCAGTCCTACCCATCTTCCTCCCACACCTGTCCCTTCCCTAACTACACACACATACACACCCCTCCCTCCCTCCCTCCAGCCGTCTCTCTTACCCACCCTCCTCTGTCCACTCTCCATCCTCCACCCACACTTCTGTCTATGCCTCCTTCTATCCCTCCCTGATCCTTCCCCTCTCCATTCCTACATCCTTCCTTTCCTGCACCCACCCATCTCAGGGGATGTGGACACAGCCCCACAAGCCTTTATTTCTCCATGGGGAGGATGAGGGAAACGTCTTGAAGGAAGTAACCCGTCATTCAAGGCCTTAGCATACGGGTGGAGTTTGCCCTGTGGATCAGAGAGAAAGAACCGAGTGTGAGGACTCAGCATTTGGGTGGGGGGGGGGGGGGCAGGGTGACAGGCAGATTGGAAGTTGGAAGCCTTCTTTTGCTATATAAAAAGTTTGAGGCTATCCTGAGCTACATGAGGCCCTTTGGCCCTTCTCAAAACATAAACAAAAGAGGAAGGAGGCACCCAAGCATAAAGATGAGCACGACGGTAATTAGAGAGAGAAATATAGGCGGTACCTGTATAAGAATTTTTTCATGTTATTCATTTATTTCACGTACACTACAAAAATGTAACCCTTCCCCAAGCCCACAATCCCTTGGACATCCTAGCTGTGGATATGGTGTGGTGAGAGTGTGGTGTGGCAGCTCCATGTCCTTGCAGTGGACAGAGTGGGCATCTTCTTCCTGCTTCAGATGGAGGTCAGCTCACTAGAGCCCAAGTCCTCTCCTCTCTCCCCAACCCGGGAGGCCTTCCTGTTTCCAGGTCAGGGGGAGTGGGGACAGAAGACCCTACCAGCCGAGGGGAGGGATGCAGAAGTCAGAGGAAGAACTGATCCTGCCCTGTGGAGGGCCCCAGGCTTTTCTCCAGGCACAGAGGCCCCTTGGCAAATCGGGCTTGGTGGGAATAGCTGGGAAATGGGAGCTGGAGAGCCTCGAGAGAGGGGCTGCCAGAGCCGGGCAGCCAGACACTTGGCTTATGAATTTGGCGGAGTCTCTGGAACACAGGGAAAGGAAGCCTTCAGCATTCCTTTGGGGGCCCCTCTGGCCCAAGGAACGGAGCTTGTGGTTTCTCAGTATGTAGCTGTGATTAGAAGGGGATTTGTCTGTGAACACTGGACTCCCTTAATAAGCGTGTCAACACGGACACTTTGGGGGCAAACCCAAGAGCTCTGGGGTAGGAACCTCCCCACACAAGCCCATCTGGAGATACTGAGGCTTGTTTCTGGGCGAGAGGATGATGGGTAAAAAGCCAGTATCCCACCAGGAGGCTGAAGCAGCAGGATTGAGAGTTCAAGGCCGGCCTGGGCTACCTAGTTGAGACCCTGTCTCACAAAAGCAGTCAGGAAGGGGCCTAGGGAGATAACTCGGTCGGCACAGCGCTTGCTACCCAAGCATGAGGATCTGAGTCTCGTGCCCCATAATCCACATTAAAAAGGCAGGCGAGGGGGCGCTGGAGTGGTGGAGACAGGAGGATACCTAGGACTCACTGGCCAGCCAGGCTAGCCGGCACAGTCCAGGTACAAGTGAGAGACCCTGTCTCAGAAATCAAGATGGGGCCTGGGGAGATGGCTCCGTGGTTCAAGTGTTTGCTTTGTAAGCAGGAGGACTGGGATTCGGATCCCCCACCCCCACCCAGAAACCCACAGAGATGCCGGATGCAATGGCCCACCTGTAATTCCAGCCTAGGCAGGCAGAGATGGAGAACTCCTCAGAGTCAGGCCACGTTGTAAGACTAGCCATATTGATTAGGAGAGTCTGCCTGGATGAATAAAGTGAAAGATCATCAAGGATGATTCCCCCGACATCAAACTTGGGCCTCTGCATGCATGCACAGACAGATTCATGAACACCCACACGTATGGGCTCCCGCGTGCATGGAGAAACATTCATATACATGTACATACGTGTGAGAGAGAGGGAAAAAGAAAAAAGTTCTGGAGGCAATGTACTCAAGATTAACCTCCAGCCTTGACACTCGTGTACATACACAAGTGCACTCATGCACAAACACACACACACACACACACACACACACACACACACACACACACAACATGCTGGCACCGCTGGAGCTTTCCTTTCTGGCCCCAGAAGCAGCTCCAGGGAGCCACATGGTGCCATCTCTGTCCCAGCAGGTGCTGGAGGAGCTGGAGTCCTCCCTGGTGTTGGAGGGGCCGGCATTCCTGGTGGTGCTGGAGCAATTCCTGGGATTGGAGGCATTGCAGGTAATGCTTCTCCCAGCTGGAGGGTGGAGGTGTCTTCGGGGGAGCCACAGGGGCAGAGCCTCACCCTCTGGGCCTGTCTGTCTTCCTAGGCGCTGGGACTCCTGCAGCTGCTGCTGCTGCAAAGGCTGCTGCTAAGGCTGCTAAGTATGGTGAGTGTCCCCCGAGAAGCAGCAGGCTTGGGGCTCTGCATGAACATGAGAGACTTTGCCTCTGATCACCTAGGGGCACTCTGACCTTCTCCAAAGGGAAGCTTTGGTCCATCCTGGTCACTCTACCTGGAAGGAAGCTCTTACTCTGCATGGACTTTGTAGAGGAAGAGATGCTGCCATACAGCACCTGCCTAGAATCCCCCAGTGAGGGGCTGGGGTGTGGCTCAGTGGTAGAGCACCTGCCTAGAATCCCCCAGTGAGGGGCTGGGGTGTTGTGGCTCAGTGGTAGAGCACCTGCCTAGAATCCCCCAGTGAGGGGCTGGGGTGTTGTGGCTCAGTGGTAGAGCACCTGCCTAGAATTCCCCAGTGAGGGGCTGGGGTGTGGCTCAGTGGTAGAGCACCTGCCTAGAATCCCCCAGTGAGGGGCTGGGGTGTTGTGGCTCAGTGGTAGAGCCCCTGCCTAGAATCCCCCAGTGAGGGACTGGGGTGTGGCTCAATGGTAGAGCACCTGCCTAGAATCCCCCAGTGAAGGACTGGGGTGTGGCTCAGTGGTAGAGTGGTAGCGTGTGCAAAGTCCTGGTTCCAATTCCTAATACTGTAAAATAAAACATGATAACAAGCCGGGCGGTGGTGGCGCACGCCTTTAATCCCAGCACTCGGGAGGCAGAGCCAGGCGGATCTCTGTGAGTTCGAGGCCAGCCTGGGCTACCAAGCGAGTCCCAGGAAAGGCGCAAAGCTACACAGAGAAACCCTGTCTCGAAAAACCAAAAAAAAAAAAAAATGATAACAAAAGAACAAAAACAAAACACAAACACACACACACACACCAAAAAAAAAAAAACAAAAAACAAACCCACAGCCTAGGTGCCTATAGCAGATATTTGATTTTGCTTTGGAATTGATTATGTTCTTCCCAGCTACATATCCAAACTAGAGGTCTCTCTGGGCTCCATCTTAGTCCATCTCCAGCTCTCTGATGAGTTGGATCCTTGTAGAGAAATCACCAACCCATCTGCATGTGATGCTGCACTCAGCATCTGGACTGTGGTCCCAAAGCTGACCTATACATCCGCCCTGGGAGGCCTGCAGAGGTCCCCACAAGGCTCAGTCTGAGACAATCCTCTTTCCATCTACAGGAGCTGCTGGAGGCTTAGTACCTGGTGGACCAGGAGTTAGGGTCCCAGGTGTTGGAATCCCAGGTGTTGGGATCCCAGGTGTTGGTGGCATCCCAGGTGTTGGTGTTGGTGGCATCCCAGGTGTTGGGGGCCCTGGTATCGGAGGCCCAGGTATTGTGGGTGGACCAGGTAAGCTGGGTTCTGTGTGCACGCGTGCACATGCGTGCGTGCATGCGTGTGTGTGTGTATGTGTGTGTGTGTGTGTGTAAGCAATATAGACTATTGCCAAGACTTTGGGTGCTTCCTAAGTCTTATTCATTCATTCATCTATACATACTCTTGACCAAGTCTAATCCCCTCCTTTTTTGGACTATGATAACTTTCTAACTAGCTTCCAGCAACAGCAGCCTCTCCAACTTCCCTCCTAATTGACAGTATGCAGGAACCGTGCCTTTCATTAATATGCCCCCACCCTTAGCTAAGTAGGTTCTCTCAGTAAAGGAGAGATAGATGAGTAAGTGGACATATTGGTAAATGGTCAAGTGGGTGGCCATAGAAGTGGTCGTGTAGATGGGCAGTTAAACTGACCAATGAGAGAGTGAGCAGAGGCTGAATCGATATAAAAATAAGTGAATACATGGACTAAGAGTAGTTAGGAAAGATGCATCGGTAGATGGAAAAGCAGATGGGCATGCAGGTAGGAAGCTACATAGGTGCTTCGAAGAATGGATGCAGGAATAAATACATGGATACTTGGGTGCATGCATGGATGGTTGCATGGATGCAGGAGCAAGTGGGTGGCTAAGGTGATGGAGAGACAGATAGGCAGGCTGATAGACAAGCTGATGAGTACATGGGCAGGTGGGTATGTAGACAAGCATGGGCAGGTGGGTATGTAGGCTATTGACAGATGGACAGACAGGCAGATGGGTGGGTAAGCTGATGGGGGGATGGATGCAACAGCGGGTGACTAAGTGATAGATACATGGGTTTCCATCCACTCATTCCTCCATCCTTCCATTTATCCATTTATCCATGCATACATTCATCCATCTACTTATCTATCTTATCCATCAATCTACGAATGGACAGAGAGCTGATGGGTGGGTGGGTGGACTGAGATCTAAGGACAGACAGCAGATGGATAGACAGAGACAGGATAGAAGATGAGTGGATGAATGAACAAGTATCTCAGCTCTACAGATAATAAACAAAGGTGGAGTAACAGACAGGTAGACAGAGGGGTACACATTGACCATCTCTCCTCCGTTCTCTCCTGAGCAGTCTTGACCCCTGTCCCTCTTGATCTCCCCAGGGGCTGTGTCACCCGCTGCTGCTGCCAAAGCTGCTGCCAAAGCTGCCAAATACGGTGAGTGCCCTGGCCATCCCTGTTCTGGCTTCCACTAGCCCAGGGAAAGCCCCAAACAGAGCTACTTGGAGCCATTGGATCCCAGGATAGATTGTGTCTCTCCAATTGTCTCCAACCATGAAGCCATGCTGCTGAGTGATAGGGCCATCCCAGGATGGCATCCCCAGTCTATATAGTGTCCCTACCCTTCCATGCTCTGGCCAAAGTCCTCTCAAATGACAGAAGTAAACCCACTCACTTCTCCATAACAAAGTGATGCTTCCCCACACACCCAGGGAAGAGAACCAGGGAAGACTCATACTTCATGGAGGACACTGATCCGGGACCCCAGGAATCCCAGTTTCCTGTCCTCAGGGACCAGCTTAAAGGAAGCATGCATCGCATCCTTTCTCCCAGCCAATGAGCATCCTTCCAGAGTTTGCCCAGCCTCACAGGAGTCTCTTTTCATTGGATTCTTTCTCCTCCACAGGAGCCAGAGGTGGAGTTGGCATTCCAACATATGGAGTTGGTGCTGGGGGCTTTCCTGGCTATGGTGTTGGAGCTGGAGCTGGACTCGGAGGTATTCTTGCCCGTGAGCTTTAGTTCCATCTCTGAGAAGCTGGGGGAGAAGGAGTAAGGGTCTCAAGTCATGCAGGGAGTTGGAGAGTGGATGTGGGTTTGGGTGTGCTATGGAAGGGAGGGGTAATCTTCATAGCCTTTAAGGGCAGGGAAAGCTATGGTCATTGCTCAGCAGCAATCCAGGCAAAAAAGCACCCATCCATCCATTTTTCCACCTACCTATCAATCCACCCATTTATCTATCTGTCCATCCATCTATCCAACCATCCATCTATCAATTCATTATCCATCCACTTGTCTATTTATCCATCCATCTACCCATTAATCTATTGCCTATTAATCCATGTATCCATCCACCTAGTCACCTCATTTATCCACACATCTATGCATCATCTATCTTCTGTTCATCCATTTATCTACCCATACATATACACATACATCTATCCAGCCATCTGTTGTATCTATCCATTTATCTATCCATCTCTCCATTTATATATCATCCATCAATCTATTCACACACCCATTCATCCATCTTTCTAACTACATACTACTCCCCTGCCTGCCTGACCACCTGTCCTCCCACTACTCCGCCCTTTTGACCCATCTATCCATATACCCACCTGCTCTTCTCTTTTCCTTGCAGGTGCAAGCCAAGCAGCTGCTGCTGCCGCCGCCAAAGCTGCCAAGTACGGTGAGTAACGTTGCCCTGTCTGATGCCCTTCTCTCTGGGGAGCCTAGGCTCTAAGTGAGGGCAGAGCAACCTCACACTTGGGCCTCCAGGGCAAAGATGCAAATCCACAGCCCCCATCTGCCTTCTAAGGCACACTCAGCTCTTCCACCATGACCATTTGCTATTCAGACTATTGGTACCTTGTTCACCAGCTCACTCCAAAGGATTGCGTTGAAGATGCTAGACAATCCTGCCCCCCACCTCCCTCTCCATTTATCCATACACACATATACATATACATGTGGTTGGGTGGGTGGCAGTGGATGGATGGATGGATGGATGAGGTGAACACTGGTGTTTATTCTTCTCTCCTCCAGGTGCTGGTGGAGCCGGAGCCCTGGGAGGCCTGGTGCCAGGTGCAGGAGCAGGAGCAATACCAGGTGTACCAGGCACTGGGGGAGTGCCAGGTGAGCTGCGTTCCCCATCCTGAGATGGGCTTGTATGGTCTTATGGGATTGGGGCTTGGCATTTTACAGATAGGAAAACTGACCCCAGAGATGAGTGGGGAAGAGGGGGACCATTTCCCCTAAAGTAGTTGAGTGAGGGGGAGCACTTTGTAGGGACCTAGTTGCTGATCTCTGGCAAGCCTCTCCATGCTGGGGGAGACTCAGCCAGCTCTGTGGGAGATCCCTGTGTCACCCAGAGTGGAGTGACCTGCCTTTTACTCTGAGGCATTTCTAGTTCCTTACCAACAGAGGACCCTTCGCTCAGGTGACCTTAGGTCCTTTCCCATACACCAGTCAGAGATCAAAGGGAGATGATTCAAAGACCCTGGCATTCAAGGACGCCCTTTTTAGTTGTTGTTTTCCTATTGGAAGATTTCTCTTCTGTCCCTCCTCCCACACCCAGGAGAAAACTGCCCTTCTGTATTTCTTTCAGAAAGGAGCTAGGGCTGGGAGTGTGGCTGAGTGGTAGGTAGAGTGTTTGCTGAGCGTACAGAAGTACCTGGGTTCATTCCCGGTACTGTAAAGAAAGAAGGGGCACTCAGTGGGTAGAGCGCTTGCAGTCAAACTTGACAACCTGAGTTCAAATCCTGAAACCCCCACATGTCGGAATGAGAGAAATGACTCCCACAAGTTGCCTTCTAACCCCCAAATGTGTGCTGGGGAGCATGCGAGCATGCACACACACAAATAAATAAGCATGAATTTTAAAAGGAAAGAGAAAGGATGCTTGGGAGATGGTACAGGGGCATAAGCATCTGCATTGCAGTAAGTGTAAGGACCAGAGGTTGAATACCCAGAAACCACATAAAAGCCAGTGGACATGGCAGCCTACCTGTAATCTTAGCATGTGGAAGACAGAGGCAGGGACTCCCCAGGTCAAGCTGGCTAGCTAGAATAGCTGAAACAGCAGGTTCTGGGTTCAGCGAGAGGGATCAGAAAAAAGACAAGGGTAGCCAGGTGTGGTGGCGCACGCCTTTAATCCCAGCACTCAGGAGTCAGAGGCAGGCAGATCTCTGTGAGTTCGAGGCCAGCCTAGGCTACAAAGCAAGTTCCAGAGCAGCTAGGGCTGTAAAACAGGGAAACCTTGTCTTGAAAAACTACGAGAGAGAGAGAGAGAGAGAGAGAGAGAGAGGATAAGGAGGACTTGTATGAATAGTGTGATTCTTTTACTCATTTATAGAAAGAAACTGTTAAAAATCAAATGCTCCAAAACAGATCTGTATATTCAATACTTCCTTAGTTAAATCCCCAACAAAACGTTTGTAAATGTGTGTATGCGCATGTGTTTAAAAATAAATGACTAAAAGATGAGGAAGGGGTCATTTCCTACAATTCCTTGGGGTACGGGTGCTGCTAGGAATTGTGTACTTAAGAGCATCCAAACAGGGCTAGAATCCCATAGGCTCAGAATCACCTCTCAGCTCTTCGCTGAAGCCCAAGCAAAACAGGGACATGTCCAGGTGACTGACAGGGGGCGTCAGCAGCACTATACCTGAAGCCCAGGCCACCCACCTCAGCACCCTTCCCTGTCTCCAGTGTGAGGCCGTGGTACCCAGAGAGGGATACCCACGGTGGACTCTGGAAGGGATGGGTAAAAATGAGGAGGGGATATTGGGCATCCTCTTATGCTCCCTTTATCCAAACAGGAGCAGGTACCCCTGCAGCGGCAGCTGCCGCCGCGGCCGCCAAGGCAGCCGCCAAAGCTGGCCAGTATGGTAAGTAGTTCCCAACTGTACCTGACCTTCGACCTCAGACCATAGCCTTCTCACATCTCCTGCTGAGGAGCTAAGGGTGACCTTGAACTCCTGTTCCTCCTGCTCATATGCTCTCACATGCTGGGATTCCAGGCATGTGCTCCCAAACTTTGTTTGTGCAGTGCTGGGGGCTGGAACTCAGGGCTTCCAGCATGCTAGGTGAGCACTCTACCAACTGAGCCACACCCCAAGCCCTGAGTATGGGCTTTTCTCATAGCTTTTAGCTTGCCCTCTCCCTTTTAGCAGTGTAGGTCTGCCAACCCCTCCATGACCCTGCCTCAGCCTACTTCTAAAAGCGCCTGGTTCCCCAAGCCCAACTAGGGCCGGTCCTCTTCTGAATCTCAAGCTAGATAGAGTCCAGCCGTATACCCTTGAGGGGCTACATTGCTCTTGCTTTCTCTTGGTAGAGGTCAAGTTCGCTCCAATAGCCCCAAGAATGTATACATTTCCTGGACATAATTAATGGTGGATGCTCTACTTGTAGGAGCTCAGCTGGGATCCAGGCATGTGCTGGGGATTTGGTGACACTTGGCCTTCATGAATTTGGGAGCCAGGCCTGGTGGCACTGGCTTGTAATACCAGCGACTCCGAGAGCTGAGGCAAGGGCACTGAAAGTTCAAGGCCAGCCTGGGAAATCTAGTGAGACCCTGTCTCAAAGTAAATAATAGAATAATGATAAAAAAAAAAAATTGGGACCTTTTCAACACCATCAGTAGAGCCCCTGCCTAGAATCCCCCAGTGAGGGGCTAGGGGTGTTGCTCAGTGGTAGAGCATCTGCCTAGAATCCCCCAGTGAGGGGCTGGGGTATGACTCAGTGGTAGAGCATCTGCCTAGAATCCTCCAGTGAGGGACTGGGGGTGTGGTTCAGTGGTAGAGCACCTGCCTAGAATCCCCCAGTGAGGGGCTGGGGGTGTGACTCAGTGGTAGAGCACCTGCCTAGAATCCCCCAGTGAGGGGCTGGGGTGTGGCTCAGTGGTAGAACACTTGGCTAGCATGTTCAAAGCCTCCCACTCACTCTCCAGTACTAAAAAAGCAAAAAGTAAAACAAGCAAGCCTCCAAGGTGTCCCTGTCCTTCAAAAGGTTACAAACTACTAAATTTACTTCTGACTTTTATTACATAGGAGCAAAAAGAAGGCCAGCAAGGGATAGTATCTGCCCCAAGATCACACAGCTAGTCTTTGCCGGGGGTGGGAAGAGAACCCAGAGCTCCTAACTCGTAGCTGTGGGCTCTTTTCGTCAGCTCCTGCCCTCTTTGTTTGGGCCTTGATTATAGATAAGCTCCATGATTATAGAAGCTGTTCCTTCTCTTATAGGTTTGGGCCCTGGCGTTGGTGGTGTTCCCGGTGGAGTTGGTGTGGGTGGAATTCCTGGTGGAGTTGGCCCTGGTGGTGTTACTGGTATTGGAGCTGGTCCCGGCATCGGCATTGGACCTGGTGGTATTGGTGAGCTATGGTGGATGAGTGAGTGGGTCTGGGGGGTCCCTGAAGCCTCCATGGGCGCCATCTTCAATGTCCTTCCTCTCTCTTCAGGAGCAGGGACACCGGCTGCCGCCAAATCTGCTGCTAAGGCAGCCGCCAAAGCCCAGTACAGTGAGTACACTCCCTCTCCTGTCCCCAGCCACATAGCCAGAACACACCACCACAGGAAACAACCTCTCAGATACATCCTTACCGTCTTTAGGTCCTCATGGCACCTAGCAGAGGGCTCGGAAACACAGACCCAGCAAGAGGGAGACCTGGGTTCAAGTCTTGGTTCTCAAGATAGCTGAGTGACTTCCGGGTTTCCTTTAGCTTATGTATCAAGTGTAGGAGTCAATGGCATGAGGGCACATGGAAGGTCACTAGGAGAATTTCAGAGATTCAGATGAGGGTGTGGTTTAGCTGGTGGAGCACTTGCCTAGAAAGCACGAAGCCCTGGCTTCCATACCCAGCGTTACATATACCAGGCATGGTGGTACATGCCTGTAATCCCATCCCAGCACTTGTGAGATAGAGGCAAGAGGACCAGAAATTCAAGAGGGCCTTCAGTTCAAGTCCAACCTGGGCTACATGAGACCCTTGGGTGAGGGAGAGTATTAAATAGATTCCTTCAAAAGCTGGGAATGGAAGTGCACACCTCTAATCCCAGCACTTGGGAGGCAGCCACAGGTAGATCTCTATGAGTTCGATGCCAGCCTGGTCTATAGTTCCAGACCAGCCAATGCTATTTAGTGAGACCCTGTCTCAAAATAATAATAATAATAATAATAATAATAATAATAATAAACTTGGACTCTGGGGTGAGTCAGCAGATGAGGACAAAGCTGGGTAGGAGGCTGCCGCTCCTTGGGGACCCCTTCCTTTGGGGCCTGACTCAGCTCCTGAGGCAGGACACTCCTACAGGGACACAGACCCTATTAGCTACAACCGCTTACTTCCTCCCTCTTCTCTACAGGGGCTGCTGCCGGGCTTGGGGCAGGTGTCCCTGGATTTGGGGCAGGTGCTGGTGTCCCTGGATTTGGGGCAGGTGCTGGTGTCCCTGGATTTGGAGCTGGAGCTGGTGTCCCTGGATTTGGGGCTGGAGCAGGTAAGGAGAATTCTAAGAACTGGATAAAGTACCCTTGAGCTCAGAGAAATAGGGCCTGCTTCATCCCAGGACTCCATCCCTATGTCCTTACAAAGCATCCATTAGATTTTCCTGAGCAGGCAAAAGCAAATGGGTACCAGGTAGGTAGTGCGGGCCTGTCATCTGAGGTACTCGAGAGGCTGAGACATGAGGCTCACAAGTCCGAGGACAGCCTGCTCTATAGAGAGCCTGTATAACTTTGTGAAGTGCTATCTTAAATAAATGAATGAATAAATTAATGAACTAATTAATTTAAAAAAAAACCAGGGTCTAGTACTGTAGCTCAGTGGCAGAGCATCTGCCTCGAGTTCCTCAATAAGAGGCTGACCAGATGGCTCAGGGTAGAACACCCTGCCTAGCATGGGTGAGGCCCTGGGTTTCATTTCTAGTAACAAGTGGAGGTGGATTGAGCAACTGGAGTAATTGGTGAGGGAGGGACCAGCCAAACAACTCTGGGGTGTGAGATTTTAGAGGGAGGTGTACGAAGGCTGCAGACTGATCAAAAGCCCCCTAACACCCACAGAAGAAAAGGTAGAAGTCTCTTCCTCCGGGCCAGTCCAGATAGCCTTCCAAAATACTCTATGACAGTGGTTCTCAACATGTGGGTCGTGACCCCTGTGTTACAAATTATAACAGTAGTGAACTTACAATTATGAAGTAGCAACAGAATAATTTTATGGTTGGGGTCATAACAAAGTAAGGAACTGTGTTCAAGAGTCACAGAACTGGGAAGGTTAAGAATCACTGCTCTAGGACAAGGGGACCACTAGGAACCCTAGTTCTTCATCATGTGGTCGCTGAACCTCGCTCTGTGCCCAGCCTTTATACTGGGCATAAAGAAGACAAAGAGAGATGAAGGAAAGAAACACAAAGCTGGCCCTCAAGGAGTCCTAGGTGAACAATGTCAAGATTAAATACTAGAACCCTGTATCTGCAAGTAGGACCTCCTGATTGGAGTGCCATGGAGTTTCCGGGCTTTAAAAAAAGAAAAAGAAAAAAAAATCTAAGTAGGAGAAGTCAGGGTGGGCTTCCTGGAAGAGGCAGCAGAACTCCCAGGTACAGAGCTCAGCAGCAGACCTCTCTTTCCCTTTTTTTTTTTTTTTCTTTTTTTTCACAGTCCCTGGATCCCTGGCTGCATCAAAAGCTGCTAAATATGGTGAGTGCAGCCCACCACCTGCTCCCCTGGCCACCCCCCACCCCCACCCCCAGCCTTGAAGTGTAGGGCTGAGAGAAAGGCTATCTAGGGGACATGTGAATGACAGTCACAGACCTAATACCTGCCTACGGACCCCTGTGTCAGTCAAAACCACCTGCCGTGCCCAGCATGGTGGTCCACACCTGTAATCTCAGCTCTTGGAAAGCAGAGGCAGGGGGTCACCACTGGCTACATGGAGAGTCCAAGGTCAACCTAGGCTATAGGAAACCCTGTCTCGCTCACAACGGTCCGATTTCCCAGCCTCACTCTGATGCTGACAGTCTTCTTGGTGCAGGACGGGGGCGGGGGGGGGGGGGGAGTCTTAACTGATGCTGGTCCCACAAGGCTGGGCAGCTTCAGCCTCCGCTCCACCCTTTGGCCTGTGGAGTTGTGACTATTCCTTGTGCAGGCATCCCCAGGCCTCCTCCTCCTCCTCCTCCTCCTCCTCCTCCTCCTCCTCCTTTCCTGTCAGCGTGACTTCGCCCAGCACCCGCCAGCCTGGAAGACGTGGCAGACCCGTCTGCCTTGCCACTTGGCGCTCTGGCCAGACCCACACTGTCTGTGACCCCCCACATTCCCGGCCTCCTAAAGAGCCAGGCGGGGCGGGGGGGGGGGGCTCTGCCAGGGATGCGCCAACTGGCTACAGTTCGGCTGCTTGAGGGCCAGTTTCCACCTCGGAAAATCCCTCAGACACACACACACACACACACACACACACACACACACACACACACACACGCAATCCCTGGTCACCCACAGCTTTCTCTCAAATTCCTTGCTGGCTGCCCTTGGCCTTTGTCAACAGACATTGCCAGGGAAACGCACCAAGGACTCTCTGGGAGAGCAGCCACTGGGTCGTCTCCTGCCCTTCGGACCTTGAACACGGCATTTTTGTCTGTGTTCAAAACCCCTCCTTGGCCTTGACCTTCTCATCCGCAAACTTGGTGTGACTGCTGGGCATGATGGATCACACCTGTGAGGCCAGCGTTTTGAAGGCTGAGGCAGGAGAATCTCAAGGTCAAAGGCAGCATGGGCTAAATGGCAAAAGCCTGTCTCAGAAAACCAATAAAAAGAGAGATGACTGTATGGCTCAGAGGTAGAGCACCTGCCCGGAATCCCCCAGCAAAGGGCTGAAGGCGTGGCTCAGTAGGAGAAAGTGTTTGCCTACACTCCTCCAGTGAGGGCCTGGGGGTGTGACTCAGTGGTAGAGGGCTTGCCTAGAATCCCAGAGGCCTCTCCTGCCTTATGGCCCTAGTGCATGAACACATCTTTCAGACACGGGGAACTGAAGGCAGGTATGTTGGCACAGGCCTGTCATCCCAGCAGTCTGGAGGCTGAGATGGGACAGGTAGATCATGAGTTCAAGGATAGTCTCTGCAATTTAGTGAGGCCCTATCTTACTAGGAGAAAATTTTTGAAAAGATAGAAGGAGCCAGGTGGTGGTGGCGCACACCTTTAATCCCAGCACTCAGGTGGCAGAGGCAGGTGGATCTCTGAGAGTTTGTGGCCAGCCTGGTCTACAGAGTGAGTTCCAGGACAGCCAGGGCTCCACAGAGAAACCCTGTCTCGAAAAACCGAAAGAAAAAAAAGTTCCAGGCATCATAGCACATGCCTATAAATCTCAGCACTTGGGAGGTGGAAGCAGGAAAATCAGGAGTTCAAAACCATCCTCAGCCACACTGAAAACCAACCTGAGCTATAAGTAACCTGGTCTCAAATGAATAAACAAAACTATGGGCACTGACCCTCAGTCCTCTTTCCACAGGAGCAGGAGCTGGAGGCCTTGGAGGTGTTGGAGGTCTTGGAGGTGCTGGTGGCCTCGGAGGGCCTGGGGGTCTTGGTGGGGCTGGTGTTCCAGGTGGTGTAGCAGGTATGTTTTTGCTATCCCAGCAATGGGCTGGCTGGGGATCGAGCCTGAGACCGCCAAGCAGTCCTGAGTCCCTCTCTGTCCCCAGGAGCATCACCTGCTGCTGCTGCTGCTGCTGCTAAAGCTGCTGCGAAGGCCGCCCAGTATGGTGGAGCCGGTGGACTGGGAGCCGGCGGACTGGGAGCCGGTGGACTAGGGGCCGGTGGCCTGGGAGCTGGTGGACTTGGGGCCGGTGGAGCAATCCCTGGTGCTGCAGGCCTTGGAGGTAAAGAATGAGTGAGTGAGGTATATGAGAGAGAGAAAGATATACTGAAGCCAAGTGTGACGACAAACACCTGTCACCCTAGCACTAGGGAGGCTAAGGCCGGAGGATCAAGGGTTGGAGGCTAACCTGGGCTGCACAGTGAGTTCAAGGTCAGCCTGGGAGATATTAGACCCTATCGGAAGCAAACAGGTAGAAAGCTTAAGCAGGCAGGAGCCAGGACTGCCCGTTGACATAGAGGTACCAAAACCCACCTTCTCCTCTCTCTCTCAACCCATCAACTATTACAGATGAGGGCTTATTAGCATAATGCTGGTCGGACCCATTTCTCAGACAAGAAAAATCAAAACTGGAGAGGAATTACTTCTTTAAAGTCTCTGCTACCATGGTGGATCTCTCTCTCTCTCTCTCTCTCTCTCTCTCTCTCTCTCTCTCTCCCCCCCCCCATGTGTCCCCTACCTAAACTACTACCTGTATGCTATGCTCCCCAAGACTGGGCATGTAATAGCAGCTTAATATAAACTACTGGAGATCTGGAGAAATAGCTCAATGGTAGTGCATTTGTCTAAAATCCCTCAGTGAGGGGCTGGGGGTGTGGCTCAATGGTAGAGCACCTGCCTAGAATCCCCCCAGTGAAGGGCTGGGGTGTGGCTCAGTGGTAGAGCCCCTGCCTAGAATCCCCCAGTGAGGGACTGGGGGCATGGCTCCATGGTAGAGCACCTGCCTAGAATCCCCCAGTGAAGGGCTGTGGGCGTGGCTCCATGGTAGAGCACTAGTCTAGAATCCTCCACTGGGGAGCAGGATGTGGCTCCGTGGTAGAGTGCTTGCCTTGAATCCCCTATTAGTAAGCTGCCCAAAGCATTGCTCAATGATAGAATACTTGCATAGCATGCATGCATGAGACCCTGGATTCCATCTCTAGTACCACACACACACACACACACACACACACACACACACACACACACACCGCACACGCACACGCACACAGCACACACACACACACACACACACACACACACACAGAGGCTATTAGAATGATGGATGTGAGAAGGAGGCGGTCTGATGGAACGGTGGGATGCGGGGAGGACAAGTCGGGCAGATGCTGATGAACAGATCAGCTAAGGGGACCTGAGCGGTGGAGAGAGGTGGCTTTCCTGAGTCCTCCTGTGTCCGTTTCCTCTAGGTGTGTCCCCAAGCTGCAGCTGCTAAAGCGGCCAAATATGGTGAGTTTCCTCCATACCCTCCCCCTCCCCAACACAGGCTTTTACCCCCATCACCACCACCCACCACCTGCCCAGCTCATGGTACCCCCCAAAGGTCTTGTCCATGATGTCATCACCACCACCCACCCCCTTGCGTCTCATCCTGGCACCCCCCCTGTCCTCTCCTCAGGTGCTGCTGGCCTTGGAGGTGTCCTCGGAGCCAGGCCATTCCCAGGTGGAGGTACGGCCCCGCTCTGGTGGTGTTCTTGGCTCTGCCTGGCCCTAGGGACACACAGTAGGGTTCTGGACCGACAACTAAGGCACAAGGCGCCACACAGGCATAGGAGACAGAGACAAGGTTAACTAAGAAAGCGACCTCCAGGCTGGAAAGAGGGCTCAGTTAGTGAAACACTCACCGGGCAAGCATGGAGACATGAGTTCAATCCCCCGGCACGCATGTAAAATTTGCAGGCTGGGGAGATGGTGACTGGGGATTGTGGGGGGGTGGGGAGGGGTTGTTGCTGGCCCAGCTAGTTTTGCCAAATCAGTGAACAAAAGGTTTAGTGAAAGACCCTGCCTCAAAATGAAAGGTGGGGAGCAAACACACGCACACACACACACACACACACACACACACACACACACACACACACGCACGCACTCACGCACCACAAAGAATGTAGCTTTAGTAGGGCAAGGCAATGGGAAGAAGCTGGTCCCAGACATCAAGGTTAGGTGACAAGGCCAGAACATGGCCTGTCACTGTTCATCACCAACCCCAAATTTCTCCTGCAGGAGTGGCAGCGAGACCTGGTTTTGGACTGTCTCCTATTTACCCAGGTATGCCCAAGTGTCTTGCCCTGTGGCCCCTGTTCTGGTCACGGCCAGGCCCTTTCCTCTCCTCTGTCCATTTGCTCAGAAGAGTTGAACTAGAGTCTATGGTAGACCCCAAATGGAGGCCAGACCCAATCTAACCTAAGGACACTTCTAAGGACAGGGGACACGACACCAGCTTTTCTAAAGCATCTTTCACATCTCTTGGGGTCCCTGTGAGTCAAATAGCTTCCTTACCATACTTCTCCTTAGGTAACCTGAGGCTCAAAGACCACTTAAACACTGTTCCAAGGTTACACAGTGAGCAGAGATCGAGCCGAAGGCTCCTGCTACCTAAATCCAGGACTTGACCCTTCTTATATGACATGTCCTGCTCCAATCAGGGAGGGCATGGTGGGCTCCCAGAAGTGTGCCCACACTGACAGCTCTTCCTCTCACTTCACAGGTGGTGGTGCTGGGGGCCTGGGAGTTGGTGGTGAGTGTGCAGTAAAAAGATGTCTTATACATGTATTGGTGGAAGGAATCTTAGCTCTGGGGGGAGGGGGGGGTAGAGGGGGGAGTAAAGCAGAAGAATCAAAATCGAAGACTAGCCTGGACTACAGAGAGTTCCAGAAAACTTGATCAACTTAGCAAAACTCTGTCTCGAGGTTTTTCGTAAACATTTTTTTTTTTTTTTTTTTTTTTTTTTTTTTGGTTTTTCGAGACAGGGTTTCTCTGTGTAGCTTTGCGCCTTTCCTGGAACTCACTTGGTAGTCCAGGCTGGCCTCGAACTCACAGAGATCCGCCTGGCTCTGCCTCCCGAGTGCTGGGATTAAAGGCGTGCGCCACCACCCCGCCCCGGCTCGTAAACATTTTTTAAAGGGCTGATAATGTAACTCAATAGTAGAGCACCTGCCTAGAATCCCCCAGTGAGGGGCTGGGGTGTGGCTCAGTGGTAGAGCACCTGCCTAGAATCCCCCAGTGAGGGGCTGGGGTGGGCTCAGCAGTAAAGCACTTGCCTAGAGTGCACTGGGCCTAAGTTCCATCCCTAATACTACAGAGCTTGTCTCTGGGGGAGAAGGGGTGTGGCTGGACCAGAGGTGGGTGTGCTGATTGGCAGGGAGGTCTTGGGAGCCTACAAAAACAGGGCAGAGCTAGTACAAGGTGAGGATGCTGGAAGAGGTAGGGGAGTCCAGAATCTGCCCCATCTCATCCTCTGCTACCAACCCCCACAGGAAAACCTCCGAAGCCCTATGGAGGAGCCCTTGGAGCCCTGGGATACCAAGGTAAGTAGAGACTCCATTCCTAGGGAAGGAAGAGGCCAAGTCAGAGGTCAAGGTCTCGGTCCACCAGCCTGGGCTAGGGGACAGGCACATCCAATGCAAATAATCAGATCTGGTAGCAAGCCTAGGACCTCCATGCTCACCTTCGGTGTGACCTGGACTTTCTTGCCCATATCCCTTAGCTGTTGCCCGCCCTCACCTGCACAGAGGAGCCTAGGACTTAAAAGCAGCAGTGAGGGCTTCCAGGATGGGCCAATCTCCTTGGTGCCACCAGGTGGCACTAACAGGCCACATCTAGCTGAAACTTCATGAAGGCTGTACATCACCAGCCTGTGGTACCTCCCTACCCCAGGTTATCTATCTCCAGGTTTACTGAGCAGGGCTTCCCAGCAATCAGGAGACTGAGGCAGGAGGATTGTGAGTTAGAGGCCCAGCATGGACTCCATAAGGAGACAATCTCAACAACCCCACCCCCGGAGAGAGAGAGAGAGAGAGGAGAGAGAGAGAGAGAGAGAGAGAGAGAGAGAGAGAAGCAAAGAGTCAGCTGAGGACATAGCTCTGTTGATAGAAAGAATACTTGCCTAGCATGAGCTAGGTTTCATCCCTAGTACATCATAAAACCAAGCAAGGCTGTGGATGCCTATAATCTAAGGGCTCAGAGAGGTAAAGACATGAGGATCAGGAGTTCAAGGTCATCCTCAGCTGTATACTTGAATTCATGGCCAGCTTGAGCTACATGGAACACTGTCTCAAAGAATGAGGGGTAGAGGAAGAAGTGAGGGAGGGAGGGAGGGAGGGAGGGAGGGAGGGAGGCTCCTTTTAGATTCTCTGAGCCAGGGATGGAAGCAGACAGAGACAGGGCATGCAAGGACTCAAAAGGCAGCCCAGAGGGACCAAGCTGACCATAGCTGCTTGTGTCTCCTTCCAACCCAGGTGGGGGCTGCTTCGGGAAATCTTGTGGCCGGAAGAGGAAGTGATCTTCTGGAGACCCCTGACTCGCGACCTCATCAACGTTGGTGCTACTGCTTGGTGGAGAATGTAAACCTTCTATGACCACCCCCTACTCCATCCCCCTGACCCCCACCTGGGAGGGGACAACAGGCCAGTGGCCTTGGAAACCCACAGGACAAGGAAATCAGACAGCAGCGGCCACGTACCCCTAACCAGAAATTTGCCCCCTACATCAGAGGCCAGGGCGGGTGCCCCATCTCTTCCCACCCAGGAGCTCCCCCACACACAGTCTCCATCTCCAAGGGAAATTGGTGCTACATGTTGGTGCTTCTTTTTCGTGGGGGGAGGGAGGAGGGAAGGGTATCCCAGGGGCCCCTCCCTTCCCTGAAACCCCTCTATTAAGATGGTGCACACATTTGTTGGGCAGTCCCACCTCCCCCTGCCCACCAGGAGCCATCCCTGGCTGCATCCCATTGGTACCCAAGTGCCGAAAGCCTTGACGCTGGATTTGATGACACAATGCCTCTCTCTTTGGATCCCTTGGCCCTGTCTCCCTCTGCCCGTAGCTATCTCCCACATCTGGGACACCTTGGAGTCAGAAGGCTCCCCACACTGGGAATAGCCCCCTTGTTCTTGTGGAATCCACCTGCCCACCCGCCCACCCATTCATCAATCCATCCATCCGTCCATCCCAACTGCCTAGCGCCACTAGCTGGCTGGGCACACCCACTCTCAACCTGGTTCACCTGTCATGGCAGCCTGTACCCTGTTTTTCCA